GAACGTGTCTGCATCAAACTAGCTTAAGAATGAAATTCATGTATCACCAACTATTTCGAGGGGCTCGAAATCACATCTCTTCAGTTTTACGACGGTTTAAAAACCTAAATTACCAGTTCTCTCTGTGTCACATTGACCAACCCTAACTAACAAGTAAATGTAAAGTGGTCAGTGTAAATTTAAGGACTAGTGAGTCAAAAATTGTAGTGAAACTCCACAAACACAAAAAGACTTTCGTTAATCCGCCGAACTATGAAGAACAGCGGGGAGTTGGAAAGCCTGCACTTCTGTTAAAACCCCTGTTCACATTTTCGTTCGAAGTCAACAGCAAAGGACTTATCAGAAGTGCTACCATCCTTCCTTTGCGCTTTTATAACTGAAATCTTTCTGTTCTGTTCTGTTTTATTTCATTTATTTGTTGTTGTTTTCGGTTACAATGACCTTAAAGGTATGATTTAAACTAACATGACCTGAATTATCCAAAAACCCACATTTGCCTAGCCGATTCAAAGTAAATAAGACCTCAGGCTACCGATAAGTGTGAATGTTGGAGATGAGCAGTCACTCTTTCATGTACAGTATGCTTCTCAGTGAAAAAGCGGTGATTGGATAAGTATTATGTTGATAAACTAAAAAGTTAATTGTCGAATCAAATTTGTTTAGCTGCACCCCTCAAATACTCCACGACACCAACACCCGTTATTCAATGACAATTCCCTTTGTACCTTTTGGTCGTTTATCCGTTCTTCATCCCGGCACAATATCTCTATTCAATAAATGTGTACAAATCTCACTCTATCTGCATCGTATCCTGACCAGTAGGTAGGAGATAAAAGCAGAGTTATTTACAAGACTATATAATTAGCTTTATCTTCTTTACTTCCCATTTTTTTGAAGCACAAGGCAATCAAAGTTTCCTCTTGTCTATATTTACTCAGTTTCCGGCGGCCTGCTACGGGTTTCTCTCCTTGCTTAGTTATTTTTCCTCTGACTGAATTTTCAGCGCATTGAATGCCCACTTTCATCTCACAAATATAAAAGCCTCTGTATATACGAATAAAAAATCAATTATTTTAAGTTGTGCTGAGCGCAGGGAAGGATACTCGAAGTACTACGGTTAGCCTGTCCACGTGTCGACCACCATTAGAGCTTAAATGTAACAGACTGGATCCGTGCGAGTGGCGGGTTACATCGCCATAGATTCGTATCCATTGGCGAGTGCCGGGCTTGATGTTTAGGTCGCAAACGTTCCATCCCTAGTCGATATGGCATCATCACTGCGCAAGTGAGGTTGCCAGTACTCCTCCGTTTATATATATAAGCGATTTCGCTACGAATTCCAGTGATAATAAACCACGGTGGTATGATATAAAATGCGACGGCAATAACAGAATTATGGTTCAGAGTGCTACTTTCCTAACTAATCAAAAAATATCGTGGAGAAATACTAAAGAAAGTCATAAAATATACTGACGGAGAACATGATAGCTGCTACCTGTATAGCCCTAAAAAGCTTTAGGCTGTAGAGCCGAAAAGACAGTCATCGCAGTTTGCTAACAAAATGAGGAGTTTTAGATCTTGGGTAAGGTGCTCGCTACTGTGACCAAATAGTATCCGACAAGGGTGAATCTGGAAACGAGAACAGCGTTGATTATCGATCAGTCATTAGTTTGGGAAGAGTGGACAAGTGAAAAAATGCATTCACAAAGCTCAGGCACAGAGAGCCGGAAGCAAAATGGATGTGAAAAAGTTATACGTTACTCAGGTTGTCGGAAAGTGTGATTGGGTTTGTTTGATCAGGGCTGGTCCAAAACCGGGATTCAAAGATTTGTACAGTGCTAGCTTTAAATAAATCGCTCATATATGTGATGAAGAGATAACATGTAGGACAGAGTTCAAAAAAATAGAACTTTCGGCAGCATTTTTGTGGTTGCTGTACAGCTGGGTAAATAGAGCAAATTGTTTAGGTATGGGTCTTAGGTTATTAGAGACACAACAAGAAAATGGACGATTAAGTTTAATTCAATTGACGACTGAGCTTCCATATAGTTGCGGTGTTAGCGGTGTCACGTGCGACGGTTTCTGTTGATAATTGTAAACCTCGGATACACGGGGTTGGTGACTTCGTCGTGTTAACTTACACAGAGGGCCTGGATGGACGGAAAATCTTATGTATTATTTCTGAGCCTATGGATGGTGGTGACCGGGGTTGTTCAAATGAGTTCAAGAACCAGTTACTCGTAGCTGGTGCATCGAATCCTAGCAGAAGAAATGTCCTGTAGCCGCAAACGAGAAAGGAGACGGCCGAAGGAAATTAACTTTTGAAGTACAGGGGAACGAAAAGGAAACTTGGGAAAGGTATGAATTGGATGTTTCATTTTATCACGAAGGCTTTTAGTATCAGAATGAATAAGGGTTGCATTGAATAAATTTGCGTGTAAAATTTGCACAGCTCTCAGAGGAGTTATAAAACAGCCCAAATGATCGAGTACGGTCAAATTTCTCCCAGACTGAATATTGAATTTATATAATCGGATTCGTGTAATCGTCACTCTTACATACCAGCAACACATACAGCCGGCTATGGCACAGGTGTAAAAGTGAGAGTTTCGTGTGTAATGAGACAGAACAACTATACTCTTTAGAGGAAAGTCGCGTGCAATCCGGTAGTGACCACCGCTCTTTTCATCCACACGCAACCAAGGCACGGCAAGAGGCGATTTCTAAACAACATTATTCTGGCGAAAATGATACGGAATAGAGAACGAGTTCTCCGGCCAGATTAGCATTTCGGAAAAACCTTGTTCAAAAGATAAATGGAATAATTGAAGATTTTCAACGCACCTTTTTCGCAGGCATTATCGTGTGAATCACAAACCTCGTTGATCAGTTTACCGAGTGGAATGAAAAAGACATGACTAACTGAATGAATTACCAAAGTGCTCAGCGACTTGCCCGCGGATCCCGTCCCGAAAAATGCTAAGTAAGCTTTGTCAATAAACCAGGTTGGCATCCATATAGAGTAAACATCTGAAGTAGGAACGGTGTTAGAGCGCACTCAAAGGCAAGAGAATAGTCATGAACTATGCAAATAACGGATTCTTTGGTATTGTTCAATGTTTAACAGATAGGAAGAACTATAAAGGATACCGGATCAAGTGTTCTCCGGGGAGGTTTATAACCAAACTGGAAGTAGTCAGATGGAATCGAAGTGCATTATGGGGCAACTAGAAATGACGCACTTAGTAAGTTTTAGAAATGTTTGCTTAGGAGCAATGAGACAAAAGCGTTTGGAGAGATCAATGGATGTTGTTTGCTCGGGTACTAGAACGATGGTTTTACTCAAGCAACGTGGAATGGACAGCAAATGTTGGGAATTGTTTGACAAAGAGGTTCTGACTTCTCTTAGAGCCTGAGCAGCACACTTGGAGATACCTGGAGACAGAACCTGTAGACCTGATAAATTAGTAACTCGGTAGTGTAAATGAGCTTCAAAATCTCTTCCTCCGGTATTGGCTCTGCATCAACATAACAAAGGAAGGGATAGGGAGATGAACAGAATATGGCTAGCTAAATGAATGCCCCTTGGAGGTTTTTTTTCTATTGACGGAACACGACAAAGAACTTTTCGTTCAACTGCACACCATCTAAATCTCCTCTGTTCATCGGACCAGTGTGAAAGATTCATTGTGCAGTCTTAACCGTCAAATCAGGATGTTAGTTCATATAAATACTGCACAACTCTTGTATCTGACATTTTAGAAAGCATCTGTCACATTGCTTATCCATCAAATCACACTGGAGGCTCAAACTCGAGAAATATAACTGTTAGTTTCAAATGTTATCTATCAGGCTACCTGGGATAATTCTAAAAGATTTGATTCACTTGACCACAGTAGCCCTTACAAAAAAAATCATATAAAAACAATTCACTGTAAAGACAGAGTTTCCTGAACCACATTTACGTCAGAATCACGGTTTTTTGTATCTCGCATTTTCCTATCAATCCTATATTGTAATTCTCCAAGTATGTGTAATCTTGCACTGAAGTGGTTAGGCGGACATGTCACGGACGAAAAACTGGAATTCTAGCTAGTATTAAATGGTGTTATTTTCTCATCAATTTACTTGTCTTTTGCTTCTGAAGGTACCATCAGTTTCTCAAATTGAACACAGATTTTGAGGAGTCAAAAAGTGAAATAAGTAATCCATTCTTGATATTTCCAGATAAACAGAAGTGTTTCACTTTTCTTACTAAACATTTTTCTCGATCAACTATTCAATAAAGAGCTTTTTTATTAGCTGTGGAATCTTGGTTGAGTAAGGATGAACGGAGTACGCATTTATGAAATTTTCCACCACAAATGTGGCAGAACCTCGTCGTAATTACTGCGCAAATTTACTGCGCCATCAAAATAATTGGTCTGTTATTCGGGTACTTAGAATACGGAGTCTAATTTGTTTGTGCTTCATTGGTGAATCTAATCAAAAGAAGTTTTCTACGAGACAAAGATGAGATGGAGGAAAGAAAAGATGATTTGGCAAACATACAAACATATAAATTAGAATGTCCGTGGCCTTCTGATGTTTACCTTAGATTCAATTTATTGTAAAAACTGCTTTGAAAGATGTTACCTGCAATAACCGAATCGTTGGCTCATTATATTCTGTGGCGAGAAAGCCAGCTAAGTTAGTCAAAAGGATTTTAAGCCTTTTCCTGATAAATTTCTCAGTGTGGTAAATAAATTTGAAATATTTTATATTTACACGAAATGATCATCGTCGTTCATAAATACTAGACTAATAAAACGGATTACTTACCACGTGTCAACCATGAGAGAATCGTATCACTTACGACGCCAGAAGGTATGCCACGGCGTGGTTGTGCTGAAATGTGGTCAATTCAATAGAATAACCTAATTTTATCTCTGTCATTCCGTTGTGATTATTGCTCCGTGAAATTTCTCTTTTTTCTCCCCTCACAAATCCCTAAACAGATCATGTCCTCTGTCAAGGTAGCTGTTCGTGTGCGACCGTTCAACAAAAGGGAGATAGCTGCGTGCAGTGAGTGCATCATCGCGATGCATGGGCAGACCACATGTAGGTTCTTTTCTTTACACAGTCCTTTTGAACCAGTATTGTGAGAGCGAGGAACAGCTAATTCTGGCCAGTGTATGTAGGCGTCGAGGTTATGTAATACAAATGATTGGGTTTTCTTTAGAGAAAAAATACCAGCATCGGTCCACCTGAAACGATGCATCAGATGCAGACTTTGTAATTCGTCTGAAGGTGAATGTTTGCGTAGTTTGAATATTTCAGTAGACAAATGCCAGACTCTGTGGAACTAAGTTTACATTAATGTCCCTTTTGCTTCTACAGAGATTTGAAAATTAGTTTGACGTGTAATTTATCTATGTATCTTGACCGCTCAAGGTTACCAGAAGTGTGGAGTTTAGTCCAGGTTGATTCCGTTATGACCTTTTTCAGCTTCTTCAGCACACAGATTTACTTCTTCACGAGACTGCAGGAGTGTACAGACCATTCACGTTATGCCTCTTCTAACTGCCAACTAAGCAGCATCCATTGCAGGGTAATGTAACTGTCTGTGTCACAAGAACTAAATGTCACCTGCAAACAAAAAATGAAATCAACGATGGAGCGGGATCGATAACATCCAAATTTTCGATTTCGTCATATCAGTGATCAGTTTCATGGAATCTCTTTATCTCCAAAGTTAGATGGCATGTCCTGTATTGTTCTAGTAATACAGGCCACCGTCAAATACGGGGCACACGGTTCGATCCCCGCTCTCCCCCCGGTTAGTCGCTTTAGAACCAGTCGGTGATTAAACTTTGCAGTATTCGTTACGAAGCATGATCTTTTGATGCATGAGGTGGTACTCCACTGCAAATATCAGAGTCATGGTTGCCGGTTATCCTTGGCAGTGCGGTAGGTTTATCGAGGTCTGACTGTAGTCAGGCGCAAGCATGCAGTAACAAACCGTCAACAAACAATGCAAAAACCCTTGAGGGGCAATACGATGCTGTTTTATTCAATCTGTGTATTTAAATAAGTGTATATAAAGTCGAAATCATTTGGAAACGCGTCAGCCGCTTAAACTATCGACATTTGCAATGCAGTTATAGTAAATGTCTTGCCATTCCACGCATTGAACCTCCATGGTAAATGCAGACGTCTGGAGAAAACCAGTCACCGCTCACCAGGAGGTCATGGAACTGTGTGGATGTCATTTTCTGTGACATTTAATAGACTTTTGTTTATGATCGGACGGTGCAAATTTTACGGGGTTCAATAAAACTGGAATTAACGGTTAACTATATGCTTCATCCAAAAATAATATTGCCTCCTTCAACTTCTATCGTTTTATGATAATGACGACGATGGCGAAACACCAACTATTTGCACACAATGAACAGCCGTGCCTAATGTACTTCTGTTTGTTTATTTGAACAATCATAACAATCACTTTAGAAAAGTAGTGCAATGGCGTGAGAATGCTCACTTTTGTTCTTCACACGATCAAATTTTCAGCGATCAGCCGCCCCGGTTCCAAAGAAGCACCAAAGGTATTTGAATTCGATCACAGCTATTGGTCATTCACATCGGTACGTTGTCCTTCACTTAGAATTGGTCTCAATTTGCTTCATTTTGCTCTGCAATTCTGTGTGTGGTAGGTGCAAGAAAAGGGGTCAAATGTGTCATTTTTAGTGTTCTTCCAATTAATAAGCTGTAACGAATTATTCTTTCCGCTGTTTCCTGATAGATCATAACAACAGATGAGCTGTCCAGCAATAATTTATTGAGGGTGTAAAATTCTGTTTTACCTTTGTGAAAAATTCATGAAAATGATTTCTGTTTGCGTCCGATATGTAATTGGAGTCTTCAGTCAAGAATGATTTTATCTGTCTATCGTCTACTACTTACAGGTCTATTTTTCATCTCATTATCACTGATCTACTAATACCAGGTCAAGCACCTATTCCCGAAGTTGAAGTAATACAAAAACGAAACTGTTTTGTCACTCCGAGTCACGTTACTCATGAAAGGTCAAAGTCCCGTGACTCACTCACATAATGAAGATTCAGTTGCCTCACCATGGATGCTATCTTAGCAACCACACGGCTTTCAGCTGCACTCGTATCTTATCCGACATGATCGCTAAGCGTATCATACACGGTTTATGCATCAGTTGTAAACGCTTTACTGAAATGGAAGACATTACTGAAAACGAAAACACAAACCTTCGTTGATCCATTTGGGTTTCAAAACGTGGTCAATCTCGTGTTTCCTTGGAACGGTTTGCCTTCAAATTTGGAACCACTGGGGTGTCATCATATCATGAATGTGTACAGGCAACTTGATATTGGTTGATGAATTTGATGATATTTGATTGGTTCAAATTGGAGCAAGTGACTATGAATTATGATTACTCTGACATTCATTACCTCATTTGCCAAAGAAAAAGACACATTTTCTTAGTAATTTCAAATATCAATCTTTTTGGGCTTCCGAGTCGCGCATGAGCTTAAGAGACCTTTCAGTGCACACGGTTGTAATACCAACTGTACTGGTACTTCAGATGCTCTCTATACTTCTGGGACGGTATGTTGCTACTTATATCTTTAAAAGGTGATTCAACAGATCAGGCGGTCAGCTATGTTTTACAAGTCACCAGTTTTCGATTCAAACGCGGTTTCCGCAGTGTGCAAATTTTTCTAGAATTTTCTGTCTGCACTATCAAGTAAATAATTACCTACCAAATTCAGCAGTGATTATCCTAGTGGCCCAGGTAATATGGCTCATTTGTACGGGCAGAAGACTAAAAGAAAGCAGTTGATGACACACCTTGATATTTTGTAGAAACTGGGCAGGTATTGTGGGACAGTCCACCTTTCAGTAAGGAGGTTTCTGAATCATTGGCATAAGTCATTAAGAAGGACAGTACATGTTCATTTATGTAGATATTAACTCTCGGCTTTAGGAGGGTAGATATGAATGGCAGCTCTTTAGAGCATAAAAATTCTGGTTGAATTTCGCTCTTGGGAACACAAACGACTTTGCGGTTATCGTCCCATCAAATTGGTAATTCGATTGCCACAGGCTCGAGGCGATATTTTCATGACCGGCGGTGATCGACCAGTCATCAACGTGAACTTTAGACCCTCCGGTCTCGGTTGAGAATCTTGCCGCCTCTGCTGCGGCCAGCACCGTCATCGCCGCTCACTTTCTCCGTGGTCCGGTCGTTAGCCGGTCACAACCTCGTTCCTGAAATATTGCACCATCACTGACTAGTAAAATTTTGAAAAAAATATAGGCTTGCAATAGTATATTACATTATTCCTTGAACTGAAAATAAGAATGTAGGCCTGCTTATCTCGTGATGCAGATTGCCGTCCAACACTTTTCTCGCGGTTATCTGTAATAGTTTTGCTGGAAAAAATCACTGCCCGTCATAGGTCTTTTAAGGGATTCCATTTTGGCCGAATATCTTTTGTCCGTGCATTGGGATACACGGCAGTGTTTGTTCCGCTCACATCCACTCTTCTGTTCTTCTCACCGCACACGTAAATGTCTAGCCCTCAGACGTGCTGTTTGCCGATCAGCGTCGTGTTTACGAGGATCTTGGTGTACAAGCCTTGGACCATGCTATCAAAGGGTACAATGTGTGCATTTTTGCCTACGGTCAGACTGGGTCAGGAAAATCCTACACAATGATGGGCAAACCAGGACTCGACAAAGAGGAGGGAATTATCCCACGATTATGTCGGGAGCTGTTCACCCGGTTGGACAAACTGCGTCAAGCGGCCAAGTCTGATCAATCTGTTCAGAATATTGTTGAAGTAAGTAAATTGTGGTGCCAATGGTCTATTTTTGCCAAATTGGGGTAGAAATTTATAGACTAGCATTCCGGTTATGACCATATGAGAGTTATTACTACCAATAACTTTTTACTTTTGTTTATTTGCTAAGTAGAATTGTGCAATATTTCTGTGAATGTCGCGGCCAATCAAAGGTTGACGAATAGGAAAGTGGTTGGGGCTGAGAATAATCGAACTCGGGCCGTCATGGTTAAGACCTCATGATGATAACCGTCTGACAAACACCGGTCAAACATTTATTGATAAAATTTGTAGTTTGTTGTTACGGGGTCCATAACCTTGTAGTTATTCCAGTCCGAGATTTCACTATTAGATACTGCTAACTGTGACATTTCTATACTCGTTTATCGATAATAAATTGGACTGAAGGTTTCTGCGTTCTGCGACATCATAGAACGTTTTGCCTCAATAATGACCCTTCAGTTTCTAAAGAAATGAACTGAGAGTTAACACTAGAATATCACTGAAAACTTAGAACTCATCAGCGTGACCAGAAATGAGAACAAAAAAGCACTACTAGAATTGTCTTACTGTCCCTCTAGCTCACCTCAACCTTGTGGTGAGTATTTCGTAGTGTAATCAGGCAAAACACGACTACAAAATGATACCACACTCTCGTGCACATGTTCAGAGCACACCGACTGTTTATTCATCTTCGCCCAACCGCTGAGTGTCACAAATCTGACCCAGTCAGGCTGAAAGTTCCGCGACGAGCTGCAAGTTATTCCGGGGCTCTGCTCTCATCTAATATTTTGATACGATTTAGGATCAGAATGTTCCTTTCCCATTATTAATGCCAGCCAAATTGGGGAAAATATCAAGTTCGATAATTTACAAAAATGCAGTTTGGTAAAATTGAATTAATATAATACGTGGGACAGAAAATCTCCTTAACGACTTAAGATACCTCTCTGTTTCGTTTGTTATCCTAATTCGGTTTTTAGTTAGATCCCGTGCGGGGAGAGTGGAGAAATGGCCTATATAAATGTTAGCACAAGTGGACTACTAAGTTATCAAGAGCTTCCGTGTAAGCTGCACCTCGATAGCAGTTTAGATATGACAGTAAACCAAAAGAGTGAACGAGTTTTGTACCACTGTTTTTAGAACTGCAGTGTAATAAATGAGGCACAACCTTTTTGTATGACTGTGAATATTTGGTTTGTGCTGATGAATTGCCAGCTTTGTTAAAAACGATCTTCGAAATGCGGAAAAATGTAGCAGTAAAGGAATGTGAGGAGACAAACCAATTCCTCAATCTTACTGAGAAAAGAACGTTCACAAAAACTCTATATGGTTCACATTTTGTAATTCATGGTACCGCTCTAAATACGGATAGTTCCGGACGGCTCTCACTACTATCAGGTTAAACCACACTGCTTGGTAAAATTGAAAAATGACAGCCGTCCACTCTTCAGTGGGACAGTTTTTAGCTGAAGTTATAATAGGTGGCTTGGACGAGTCATTCGACTTTCCTGTCCTCAATTTTATAGAGGTTTTGCTACTCAAAGGCATCAGGATCTGAAGTTATACTAGATGATTCTCCAACACAAACAAATATTTACCCGTTATCTTACATTTGAAGAGTTACCCTGCAATGAGCCTTTTCGATAAAACATGATTTCTTTTATCGGGGAATCAGGTTGCTTGCTTTTGTGGTTCATATATCCCGTTGGCAGGCTTGATCTGGCACTTTTGTTGACCGATCGATGCAGTAAATTCTGATGGAAATGATCATGTATTACGGCCCGTTTCACTTCTCCTAATTCTCAGGTGTCTTACATTGAAATTTATTGTGAACGTGTTCGTGATTTACTGAACCCGCATAGCAAGAGTCATTTGCGCGTTCGAGAACATCCGATTTTGGGCCCATATGTGGAAGATTTGTCCAAGTGTGTCGTGCAATCATTTGGGGAGATCAGTGAGCTAATTGATGTGGGGAACAAAGCCCGGTAAGTTCACATAGTTAAAGTCCTCAATTTTATACTCTTTTTGCCTTTACTAAGAAAGTGTGAAGGAAATATAATGACGTGTTTTAGTGTAAGTCAGAAAAAAAGCATTATGCTCGAAACAACCGATTTATTATTATTATTCCTATTGAAAAATATAACATCCAAAAGTAGTCGAAGGCCTATTTATGGTTAACGAAATCCAACATAGGGATGTGTGTATGGCAAGTCAAATCAAGTCAATATAACCATTCCTCACAGGTGTGGCTTTTCAGTTTGTAACACCCATTCGGTCTCACCGGTGCACGCTGGTGCACACCTCCATTCAGTTGCATGAAAGGGCGTTGGTGCAACATGCAGATAAGTTAACGAACTTTATTCTATGAGTGAGAGTGATTGAGAGAAAGTAAATATCACAGTAATGCAAAGCATTCTCCATTCGTTTCTCGCAAAAATGACAATTATTTATTTTAAAAGAAACCACAAATAAAATAACCCCAGCGCTTCTTTTGTGTTTATGATTCTCAGTCAGATGGTCATATCCTGACGAGAGTTACCAAGTTACCTTTAGGTGCCAGTCCATAGCCCTCTACGGTAAGTGCTATCTTCCCAGTCTTCAGGCAGTTAAAAAGTAGATTTCGATTTCCATGGTCACTTGGTTCCTTTATTCCTTATGCTCGTCGGTAAGACCTTTAACCATCCCGCATTAGATGTGCCCGTCTATTACCATTGTCGACTCCTGTCAAAATCTTCCTCCGCGACCTGGTTATAAAATAATTTTTCAAACTTCTATGATCCTCCACAATGATTATATTCTTGCCAGGTCAAATAAAACCTAAGAGCGACTAATACACTGTTCGTTTTGAACCACCGTTTGCTTTGAAGCTTTCGGTGCAATTTGAAAAACAAGAATTGACAGTAACTCATCGGTTCCTGATGAAAACAAATTTTGCTTCACTTTTCGCCATCTCTAAATTCTGTTTACACTTGGATAAAACTGACCTAAATTATACCAAATTTGAGAGCAATCAAGATTGGACGACAAGCGGTGGCTTCTTATTTCATTTGGGACTAAAATAGAACAAAAAGTAGACTTATATGAAAGTATAAAACAGCGCAACGAAGAATTTCCTTGTGAGATAAATAATAGTATGACTACATATAAACGAACTGTTTGGAACACCCTCCTGTAACTAATTTAAGATACATTAACAATATCTATGCATCTAACGTTTTGGGTTCTCACTACTGTAATCCATAATTAGATTTTTAGAAATCAATAAAAGTGGCTGAACATCGATTAAATTTTGGACGGCTGCAATCGTTTTGTTTATTTCGTAAGTAGATGAGTGAAAAACGAAATTCACTGCTGGGTTTGCTGCAAACTTTTGAACTGTGACAGTTAAGTTTTTTCTTTGGTACATCCCGCGGTACTAGTAACAACAACACTAAAATATCTTTCCGTAGAAGTAATACCATTTTACGTAAGGATGTTTCACTCTTGATGGATCCAGCTCTCCCTGTTTGCCACTCCATCCCCGATTTATGCAGTCAATCGATAGATGGAAAGTTTCACTTTGCAAGCAATATGTCACCTAGTTCAATCCAGTAAACAACAGAATATGCAGGAATTTGTTTGACAGAACTGTAAAGCCCGGATTTACAGCCAGTAAGACGTAATTTTATCCGAGCACGATACGCTTACGGAAACGCCAATTTTAGTAGTAAGTGATGAATAGTCATGAGAATACTTTAACTCGGTCTCAAAGAACACTAAAGGGTCATTATTAGCCTCGCTATCAGCCTTTGTTAACCATGTATGTGTACCATACTATCGACCTGACATTTCTAAAACTGAATTCAAGCGATGGTTGGTTGGTTTTTAACATAAATATAATTGTATTCTTTGTTAACGCTGAAGGCACGGATCGCAAATAGTTACCACCTATGCATCGCTAGTGATGCACTAGCGTTTAGTCAATGAGTAGTTTACGTAACATGATTCATCACGCAATGTGAACGCTCAAGTTTCCATTGGAAATATTGGAGCTAAAATCCAGAGTGAACGACTGTGAGTCAAACCACCCGGCTACCGGTGCAGGCTCTCAACGGTATTATAGTAAGCTTACATAATACATGGTATTACGCTCTTTCGTCACTGTTTCTTCACGTTAGCGGAGCATTTCCCGTACAACGATGGACTCCTTTTATGGAAGTGAATTGCCAGAGTATTGATTTCTCTGAATGTTTATTGTAAACATCTTAAATACATTTGATTACAGACTTGATTTCCAAGCTTTTGACGTAAACGTGCTTCTCGAATTTTCGGTACGTTTGATGCAAGTGCCTTAAGAAAAGCAGTGGGTTTTTTTCATTTTCCTGGAGCTCCACGGTAAACAGGTATATGTCCCCTTGTCAACAAAGCAATTCACTTTAGAATTTTGACTTATTCATGTGTTTGATCATCAAACAGCAAACAGATGTGTGAATTGTCACATTCTAAATCAGTATAACTTTGATATTCGATTTACCATTTCCGCAATAATTCATAGGAAGCAATAAAGTGCATGAGTTGTTGATAAAACAGTGGGCAGGACGACCGAGGTCTACTCCTTGAGAAAAGCACCGAAATCTCTCTTAGTACTTGTACGGCAGTGTTGCAATTGCGTGCACTATACTACTCACTTTAGCGCATCACACAAGTAGTAAGCATTTTCACGCAGTGAAAATTAATTCATGTTTGACCAAACCCGGCTGACGCACCAGAGAATTGTTCCTCATTATCTCAAAAACCATCATTTGACAAACTTCTCCTTTTCGAACCATATAATCACAACCTAGTGGGATCTTGGTCAGAAGAGGAAATATTATTTATTCTTTACACATGACCTTCCACTTGATGAAATAGTTTAAGCATTTTCGCATTGAATATTCAAAGAATAAATGTCATAAAAGTAGATATTAATTGCCCTTATCCAAATGTCTGTCTGACACACAAAAATTCATTTCTCGTTGGTTGATTTCGTTGATAAATTTTAGGCATGCATAAAGCTCCTTACAGAATCGGCTCTCGTTCTATGGTGTGATTGTAGATAGAACAACCTAATTTCTTCATAAAGGCTTTCGGTGAATCTGTCACTACTTTATTTTTGCAATGTAACTATGCACATTTATTCATGTTGAAATGATTGTTTTAAGGAAATACTGCTTGTTCACTGTACCTTTCTTTGTATTCATCTTATCTGAATCACGTGAGCAAACACTAAGACTGACTTGCTTATCACTGCTAATATCTGCTAACTCCGTTGGAGAAATCAATGCATTTCATCCATATTTCCAAGAAAAGCAGTCCGTCACGAATCGAATCTTTTAGCCAAATTGAAGTAGACAAAGTCTTACATAGATGATTGAAAAATTGTTTATGTAGTTGTGCCACATGCATCTCTCACCCAATTTTCTGTTATTATCCCCGTATATTGCACAGAACCGTGGCAGCAACTAATATGAATGAGACTAGCAGTCGATCACATGCCGTGTTCACCATGGTTGTTACACAGAAAATCAACGACATCAAAGCTGATGTGGCTACTGAAAAAGTAAGCCCTGTTGTCGCGTTACCCGCAATAATATCAGGTTGTCTTTAGGTTCTTTAGTTTTTTTACCTAGATGAAAAAACCGTCTCTGCTCAAATCGACTAGGAGTCGACGAAAATACTCTCCTGTTGAGATTAGCAATTCAGTCTAACTCAGATTACTGTTTACACTCGAGACTTAAGGCTGACTGGTGCAAAAAAATCGGAAGAAAAGTCTGTGATCGGACGGCCGTTTCACAATAATAATGAGTATAGGTTAGTTGTGACCAACCCACAAAGAACTATTGGCGAACCACAGGAGTGATTTCCTAGTGAAACTCAAAATTAGGAGCACTCGCTCACAATTCTAATGCCTAAAGATATATAGCTGTGAATGAGACGGCACACTACCTTTCGGATTTACACATGGGCTCTGATTCATCTTGAAACAATGTCGTTTAAAAAGTTTACTTGACCATAGGGTATGAATTATCCGTGTATTTTGGCAGACTCTAGGAGCTGCGATATTCATTCTGATTAGGAATGTAGTTGGCTTCTGTAGTGGAATCAAATATATGCATGGACACAATTCATGATTCCCTCAGATTCTAATAGCTAAACTTGACCACAAATCGTAAACCTTTCCACCTGATATCATGAACTTGCACTTGCTACGGTGCGCGTTAGTATCGATTGGGTCGACTTCCACTGATCTGACATTGTTCCCGTGGATTACCCCAATATTATGAGGTAACCAATATTGGTCTTTTGACAATGCGTTTCAGGTTTTTGAATGTACGCGTGATATTTCTATCCTTGGTAATCTAGTTCTCCAAAGTTTACGTGAGATATAAGGTCTCTGGTTCATAGAACCATAGATACATTTCTATGTCTGTGTAGATACAAAAACAACCTCCTATTTTTCTTTAAGTCTGTTTGCCCGTTTCGTTCATTTGAGCGAACTTAACGAGAGCGTAGGTGCAATAATCAGAATCTGTATCGACGGGACTTGCTGCAAGAAGTCCAGCTTCCGGTAACTCATTTCATTATCGCGTGATTGCATAAAAACACGTACGTAATTCATCCGAACTGAATATTCACTCGTTTTTGCCATTCTCAGGCAGGTATAAATTAAATAACACAGTGCCACTTTTTCGCCCGTTAGTATCGTCCTCAGTGCAGTTTAGCCAGGGGAACGCGTCTGGTAATCAAAAACTTGACTCATGGTACGACGATTTTTGTCACCGACCACCTTCAGTTCCTCCCTTGAAGCTCACGTGTGTTGAATTCCGACGGTCACACCAAATGGTGTATGAAACTGTCATTTCTTAGAGTTAGAAGTCTTGTGGTCAACTTAAGTGTACTTCTCGTCCTCCTGTGTGGTTTTTCCCTTTTCGGCTCCATTTCTTTGAAGCTTTTGTCACAGTAGTCATTTTCCCTGAATTCACTTCCTCTTGGACACTGCTGTCAGTTCTTACGCGTTTAATCATTTTATTTCGGTATAATTTCAGTTAAGCCTGCCTGACATTTTTCATCAGGCTAAAATTATCTTATCCCGAAATGGAACTGACTGTTGCGTTCATCTAAGAGCTTATGTCCCACTCCATAGTGTATCTACGGATCATAAGTACTGTTTTCCTAAGAAAAAGTACATTACATGGCAGATGTCTAGTTATACGGAGATTCAATCCCGGTACTTTGTCTTATCCAGACATAAGTGTGGCGGCAACTCATCCACCACGACACAGATAGGTACAACGAAACCAAGACCGTTGCAGTATCCTTTAACGAAAGCAACAGTGATAACGAGAGAGACTGGACTGCAAATAGAACCCTCTATTTTAACCGGGGCCAGAAACAGATACTCAAGATTCGCTAAAGATCAATCTCAACGAAAGTCGAAACAAAAAACAGTCAGTGGAAGTCGAGATCACTGTGAACGAGATTTCTTGTTGGATCATATCCCAGTTGGGAAACGTTGAACAAAGTATCGATCGAAAGTATACATGCTTCGTCCGACAGGGATCAATTAGACAAGGATGAAGACTTCTCCTTGGTACAATGAAAATGTTTTTCTGGAAAAGTATATCTTCACTCTAGGAAAACGATTTCCCAGAATATTTTGGTTTGATTGATTAGACTAGGTAGGGTACACAGATTTGAGTGAGGTTTTGGATGAACTACTAACAAGCTATGCAGCCTTCGATTATATCTTCTTCACTTTATATCAGTTTTACTTCTGGACTACAGTACAGCCTAGAATCTCATCTTTCCTCAAAACTCAATTCCCCTTTGTGATTTTGGGTTAATAATGTATCTGAATAAAGATGGTATCTGTATGACACCGACTGCAAATTTGCGTCCCAGGAATGACTACCCTAGGGGATGTGGAAAATTGTTTCACTTGACTTTATCGTCTTCTGGTGCGCAGCTAGCCCCAATGACCAACCCGAATCATCAGTCAACAGCGTATGACGGATCGATATTGCCGAAAGAAGAGATGTGGATAAAATTAATTTCTTCCTGATTTGGTTGTTTTTATTCACGTGAGGTTTATTTTTGTTTGTTGATAAAATCTAGCGATAAATAGAAAATCGCGATGAGTAGTGTAGTATTGCGTGTGGATGACAAAACACAATTTTCCCGGAATTACAAGAATGGTCTCCCGGTTGTTGTCACCCATCACGTATGCACAGCACCCTGTACAGCTCTGCCCAATTATCCCCATACCTGATCACCCCACAGTTAACCTATAGCTGTAATCGCGTCATCCAGGTGCAATATCATATTACTCACGTAGAAAACCCATACTACAGACCATGTCCTCATTCTGAAGTTCAGCCGTATTAACCGACAAAATAACTTGGGAGAGAGCACCGTATGACCTTCAAAATGGATTTTTTTATCCCATGCACGCTATTTACAATTCAAGTAAGATCACAGAAATTATCTTGATTTTCAGCCGTATCGTGATGAATAAGCTACTCACCCAGGAATGACTTAATTTCAACGCAATTTCATTGAGTTTTTTTACTATATGTTTCATCTTGGATGATTATTTGGGCATCCCTAATATTTACCTATACTTCATTAATTAGCCGAAACATTATCTTGATCAGTGAATAGCCTTTCATTGGTACAGTCAGTTTAGAGCTGTTTGGCGAGTGAAACATAGAAGCATTCGTATTCCATTGGGGTTGATAAAAATGTGATGAAAATCTGTTCGTTGAAGAATGTCGAATTTAGAAAGTCTTCTAGTGTTGTATGCCTAATCGTTGTCACAAATTAGGGAAACGAAAAAGATAGATTTTTGAAAAATCTGACCAAACTTTACTTGAGGTAGATCATACAGCACCAAGCACTAAATTTCACTGGAACTTCACAATCACTCTATTTCAGGTAAGTAAGATCAGTTTGGTCGATTTAGCCGGCAGCGAGAGGGCCGATTCCACGGGTGCAACCGACGTGCGACTGAAAGAGGGCGCTAACATCAACAAATCGCTGACGACTTTGGGCAAAGTGATTGCAGCCTTGGCCGATATGGTGAGCACATGTTGGCTGTGTGTATGTGTGTCAATACTGCTAAAGCACTATATGTAAAAAAACAATGATAATGTCTGTCCATATGAATGTAACAGGTTTTAATGCAAAATGCTACATAACGTTATACAAAATAATTCGTAATAATAAAGTGACACGTAACAGACACACAACTAGATGGAGGTGAAATACTAATAATTAATAGGTCCCATCTAATTTCTGCAAGTTCCAAGAATTTCCTGGTGGAATTTTCGTTGAGTACTTGCATTATAAGCACGAAATAAATCAATGGGTCATAATTGCAGTTGTCACAAAAAATGGGTGAATTCAGCTATCCGGTGATTGCATGAAATGGAGAAATTCAGATAATTATAAGTGACCGTAAGAAACGCAGTACGATAGGAAATACCACCGGTTGATCTACGGATATGGTCTTTAGTTCATTCAATGAATAGGGTGAAAGATTTATTGTCTATGCCTGTTCTCTTTCATTCAGCATGAAACACAACTTCGTTTGTTTTCGGTCAACTAAAAGAGTAGCTAAACCTTTGCGTGCGTTGGTTATTGTTGTAAATTTCACTAGTGCTATACCCAGCCGCTGGAGCAATCACTGGAAAAAATGTAGTGGTTCCAATACCAACACGTACTCTAATCATTATGATTAATTTATTACTCAGTTATCATTGCACAAAACTTTATCGAATAAGTAGGAGAAGAAAATAATTGAGATGTTTTTGACATAAAAGTATTGTACTCCTAATGACGTGTTTTTTCATCAAACTAAGTTCGTACCCATGAGTAAAATTCTGCCGACTTCAGTGGTAGAATATACGATCCCATATTACAAGCTGGAACAGTTAAAGCCAGTTTTAATGGCTAAATTGAATTAAACTTTTCAGTGTGAAAATACAAATAAATTTTTGATTTGGAACAAGAGGAGTTACTTACTTCAATAGTATGATTCCGCGCTCGGTCAGATAGGTCACGGAAGAGAATACCTCAAAAACAATGCATTGCAGTACCGATGTCACTCTAGGACGCCTAAAAGTCGAGAACTTTGATTGATTCCACTTAGACTGCTAAATTTTCCCAATTCATCAAAACGTATGATTCATTTTTGGGAAATTTCAGAGTTCAAAAAAGAAGAAGAAAGCTGATTTCATTCCTTACCGTGATTCGGTTCTCACGTGGCTTTTACGAGAGAATTTGGGTAAGTTTAACTCTTCGCGTGTTCCAAATAGGCATTTATCAACCTGAATAAGTTCATTAACTTATAACAGCGTCGAATCAGGCTGTTTGGGATATTCGTAAGACGAATGTCAGAAGACTTTATCCGACTTATTAGAGTGATATCCAAATGGATACGGACTTTGTATTTACGGCTTGGTCATGAAAGTGGCAGAAAGGCAATCATGAACTCATACATCCTCCTCAGTATACTGCACTACCAGAGATAACCAACATCGATGATCCTGAGCTTTCAATCCGGGTAACTTCGTGGGACCCTATTAGTTTAGGCCTATGAGCAAGGCGACAGTGGACTAGTCTTTCACCAATGCGACCGACGGTACCTGGATTCGAAGAGTTATCGGGAGTTTCTTCCTCACTTACCCTTCTCAGTCATCGGTAAGGCGACTGGAAATTGAAGTGTCTGTTTGATATTCCTGATAATAAACATTCTGGCTCTTTATTGTGTCCAAATATCGCATCAGCAATGAATTCTGCTAGTGTGGATGATATGAAATGGGAGTGAAAAATTAAGGTGCATCAAGTAATTTAGTCCTGAACATTCTGTGGATTGAGTACACATTTGTGCCGTCTATGATCACAGTACTCATCGAGTTTTGACCTGAAATGGGTGAATATAAGTATGAAAAGCCTGCATTTTAATATGGATCATTTTTGATCACCCGGATCGGAGTACATTGACAAGTGTATAACCCTAAGTTTGTTCCTAGGATGTGTTAAGTGGACATTTTCAGTTCCACAGATGAAGCAGAATCGTCTGACTGTATATAAAAAATGCTTAGGTTCAGTGGGATTACTTGAAATACAGATGCCAACACTGATGGATGAGAAAGGCAGAAAGTGTAGTTGTTCAGTAAAGAGATAGATAGGCAGCTTCGATGATAAGTTATAAGCGTGAGCGCATCTCTTGCGTTAACTTAGCAACCACATAATCAGGGCTGTTCAGCAAATTCGAGAAAAGCATAGTTTGGTACCGATGAGGAAGATGTGAGAAAAACGTGTGTGAATAAGACATGACCTAAAGAAAAAGTTCTGTCCACCAAACTTTCACTGTGATAAATGATATGCAACATATATCCAATTATAGACTAGAATAGCATCGGGTTCGGTATTTTAGTGCTCACGGCCAAAATATTCTTCTGGAGTTGCATTTTAGAGGTTAGATTCCGGTACTTTATAAAATATCGCAACTGGAAGCATCGGATTGTGGCGGGTTCGTTTATCCGTCGGACTAATCGTTTATAACTAATCATTAGTGCGTGCCATTAGACTGTATGATCGTGAGCCGAAATATTTGCGCCCGGTAAGTAGATCATGGTCACGTTTGTTTCCACTCAGAGGTGAAAATTCGCAACTCTATGGTATCGTTGACTGAAATTCTCTAAGCAGCACAAATCACTAAGCTTTTCAACTTTTCATCCGAGAAAATGACGAAATTACACAGATTTCTCTTCCTAAGTGCATAGAGCGAGGTACATTTTCTGAACCTCTTCATGAGGCATTTCAGATCAAATGTGTCAAATGGTTTAGCTTACAGAGCAACCAATTTCTTCTGTTCAAAAACCACAGATCAGAAAACAGGATACACAACAGATATCAAGAAATTACCGGTTATCCTAATCGCTAAGCTCAGTGAATAGCCGTCAACTGTGTCCTGTATAAATTGCATTTTGTTCACCAATGGATTTGGCTGTAGGACTACTCAGATCCTTTAATAAACCAAAATTTATAATGTACTCATGCGTTCACACACTCAGCTTAGCTGCCCAATGGATGTTCAAGTGTAAAGACATATTCGTGGAAGTCTGAGTCAAGCAACACGTGACTACCCTTTTTCCACTATAACGCCAGTCTTAGACCGGCCGAAACCTGAAGCGTTTCACTTTTCTCCCCTCCAAGTTGGATTGGTGTGTAGGAAATCTTTGGGAAATCTCCTATCATATATATTCATTGTCACATGAATATATTTTTCTATAGCTCGGTAGATCACATCAATACGGTACTCACATATAGCTTTCCTATCGAGCCAGTTGAGTTAAGCGCAGAATCAAAGCGAATGCAGTTAAGAACGAAGAAAATGTGGTAAAAATATACGGTGCTGTTGAGGTTAAGCTGATTAAGATAAATCAGTGCAAACCTTCACAGTTATCGACCACGGGTTAATCAAGGGAAGTGCGTCAGTCGTCCCATAATCGTTCAGGTTCAACGGGCGAGGCACAGACAACAATACTATAAGCAGATAGGAGGGGGGGGGTGTCGGGGTCACGTTGATGCGATAAAAGAAGCGCTCATTGTGGTACGTAGCATACTGAAGAATGCCGGAACAGACTGAAATACGGGTGAGGAAATAACAGAGGTAAGATAAAATTAGCGGAACCAACAACCACGTCGATTGGATCTTCATTCACACATCCGATGGGTGCCACATCGGACATATTCCACTTCCACTTATCACCTGGATTTGAATTTTAGTTTTCATGAATAATTCGAAATAGTCCACGTTATGTTGTCAGAATGATCCCGAGCACTTTGCACCATAGATGCACACGTCTAGTTGGCTTGCACAACGCCGTCTCTGCTCTTTACTGTATTAGTAGGATTTTTCTTTTTCTAGTACACTTTTCTCCAACGTAGCGAAATTATTAATGCTTACTGGACCTTGCTTATATGACATTGGTTTATAGGCCAGGCATTCGAAATAAACCAAATTTGTTCATTTTGTGAGCTTACTGTCAACAGCCTGTTTATTGTAGGGCCACGAGATAATTATCAACAATTACAATGCCAATGTATGAACATTCACATCCTGAATCCCCACCCCGAGTCTGTTCTCTTTTAAACAAGTCGTTTCCCTGACATAAATAGCCACTAATACTATCTCCTTACATTATTCCCTGAATTGTACAATGTGCTGCAACTGGGCAGTAGATGAAGCATTGAAAGCAAGCTTGTGCGCCAAACTGTTGTTATTTAAATTTGTTTGTACTCTGTTTGCTTCTATTTGGTTGACGAGCACATGATAAACACTAGAAAAGATGAATGTTTATGTTACGATCAACGTTTATTCTTGCCAAACCGGACCTTCTTAGGTCTAAAAACCATATTTGACGCATTGCTACCTCTAAATTCCAGATTAATCCATCAAGGTAACCATTGTCGTACGATTCCAATTGCTCACGGATCGTCGCAGAATTCGGGTTACCAAAAAGAAGTTCTGAATAATTCTCCATGTCAGCCCTGTTATTAAGTGGTACGAAAAGTTTAGAAAACGGAGACTGTGTGCGAAGCAAGTAGTTCGTCTTACGAATTTCGATCACGCCTGGACACTTCCTTCAAGGAATTCCTGCTACTTCGCAGATTCTTTCCTGTTCCTATTTATTGACCGTACTTATCATTAGCGAGAGAACTTTGTCACGATTCTTTAGTTTGAATAAAGATGGTGTGCAAATGCATATAATAATCAAATAAAAAAGAAACTTCATACGGAAGTAAAAAGCAAGTATTAATAATCGATACGTGCATGAAATTTATGGCATTCTGAACGAGGACCTTAATGCATAAACTCTTCTAGACAAGTAAGCACATCTAGTTGGATTTCATTATGGGGACAGAAAGTAAAAACGTGACATCTTATTGAAAAGGCTTTCAAAATGTGGATCCAGTGTAAAGAATACATGCGGTCACCTTTATGCCTGCAGAGGTTAATCTGTCACAATGCCCACATCTTAGCGATTCCTTCCCAATACATCTCCCTTCCCTGCATTGGTTTATCTTGTTCGGTTGGTCTTAGTTCTGTATATAAACAATTTGTCGTTTCCATGTAGATTCCAGCTAAGTTGCAGCTATGTTGTCCTGTACGTGTATCGTACAGTGTTGCTATATTGTTGCAAACGGCTTGTTCAACGTGATTTATCAGCTCTTCCAGTAACCTATCGAAAGCATTCATATTGCACGCTCTGGTCATTGCTGATGTGATTATTATTTACCTACCTATTATTTATCTGCGTAAATGAAACCGACTTGCCTAGGAAGTTCAACTACCTTGTCTAAAGATGAATTATGCAGAGCGCAACGATAATCCTTTTTCCGTGATCGGATCGATATATAGCTGGAAACCAATCCAACTTCTGAATCCTAACTGTCCCCGTCGTAGACACCATAACAATGAACTTCATTCCAGCCGACATCTAGTCGACTGCATTTCAGTCACCTGTACGATCAACGAGAGCTTTGCTGTTCCTAATGGAATCACTCAGACCGAGTGATAACCCAATTAAGCCCATTCAGCGGAGGCTTCCTTTTGCAACAACTTGAACGTGTAAGAGTCACAGGCAGTATATCGATAGCCGTATGTCCATATGGTTAGTTTTCTCTCACAGATTAATCACCCTGTTACTTGGCGAATATTATTGGTGTAAAATAAATGGTTTGATGTGGACGGGTTTTGGCTTGGACATATCAGAGATTTCCATACCTTTATCATTTTGTCCTTTTGCCGTAAATTAACTTCTCGCCTGTGCATGAACAGAGACAAGTAGGAAATAATGATAAAATCTTGCTCCACTTTAGTGGCATAAACCAGGCGCCTCAAATTCCAAACCGACTGGACAACATAAATGATGAGTGCCTGGAATATAATACGGATATTATATGTGAAGACTTGATAGCAGCACTCATTATTGGTACATATTTAGCTCTGTTTACCGTAATCTGTTAAACATGGGTACTAAAAAAGTTTAGCACTATCGACTTTTCCGTGGTCCTACAACTTAGCGTAGCTTCTTAAGGCAGATATTCGTTTAACTCCCGCGTTCTTCAGACGAGTATCAGTTGTTCGTTTTTAAAAAAAGAGTGGAAGACTACGGAAGAAGAGCCACCTCATATTTCCACGTATTACTGACAGCAGAATTTGTCGGAAATATTTGTGAGTATAATATAATATGGATCAGTAACGGCCGACTTAAAGGAAACTCAAGTGCTTTCATGTGAAATCGAGTGTCGTCTGAAATCGCTGAAAGAACAGAGAAGGGTTCAAACTCTATACTCTGCGGTAACAGCGGTTTTGCTAGTCTCCAGTGCTTGGTAATATAAATCGCCCTGATTCGGAATCATTGTCAGCACAAACCCGCGGAGATTGTACAGAGCCTCGAACCCTAGGAGAACGATTGTGAACTGAATACCTAACCACCGGACTATACGAGATGGCTTCCAAAGGTTTCTTGAACGTAAACAGTGCATGATATGACGCCGAGAGTTCAGTAAATATTATAAGGACACGATCCGTTGCCCGTACAAAGAACGACTTCCGTATTGGACTTTTTTTTTAAAGCTTTAGCTCAACGTTAGTATTCCGTTAATCAGAACTATCTTCAGAGCTTGATTATTCTCTAATTACAGGCAGTAGAAGATTTTATTTATTCACCATCTTTCGTTGTACAGTATCAAAAGAATACTCATCGTTGGAAATTATCACTGTTGAATGAAAATGCTGTACAGTGTTTCCATGGTGCTCAGTGGTGAATTTACCATGGATACTTCATAATGAATCTTATCATATAAATCTAATCTTCTACTGGTGATGAGTTTGTAGGTATCCGGAACAAACGATGTGAGGGGTGCATCGAAAATTCGATGCGCCGTGTGTTGTCTTTATTGTTAAAGTTTTAATGGTAATAACACAGCTTTGTTGAAATTTGCCGACGTTTCGGTTACCGTGGGTAAATTTTCTCAAGGCAATTTTTCAATCAAATAAGTGTGGGAACATTGACTTGTGTCAACCGCAGTGACGGAGCAGAGATTTCCGAGATGTGGACAGCCCTAACCGCACTGACGAATAAGCATCCCAAAGGTCATCGCGCTAATGACCTCGCCACCATCGATGTGTATGGTGTGAGAGACAACGAGACACTCACCCACCACACAAAAGAACGTGCACACACTCATGCACACATGCAAGCACACAACCAAATATCCGTTGACATGCGAAAGTTCCCACAGTTATTTAATTGGAAATATTGCCTTGAGAAATATTACCCAGTTTTTCGAATTACATCTACCAACAGCGCTGGTTGGTCGGATGAGCTGAGGTTTGCGCGTGAAACGTGGAGTCCAAAAGGACAGTCAATCAAACGAATATTAAATTTATAACATTCACACTAATCTTCTACTACTTGTATTCATTAATAAACACCAATGTAAATTGTCATACCGGATCAGCTTCTTCCATAAAATCGTGGCCTTATAGTGCATAGTAATTTGATTAATTGGTACTACATACATCCCGTCAACTAGAAATGCAGTTACAGAACCTGAGAAAAGATCATTGTTTATTATTTATTGAGCACTTCCACGAAAGTCTGTAGGATGTACGCATGGAGTCCGGAGCACACATTGCAACAAAATGTATGCACCTATGAAAACTATGTTCTTGTACAATGAAAAACTCACAACGCCGAGGTTAGCTCAATCAAATCAAGCAAAATATGCAGTAACCTACCTTATTTTGGAAACCTTACCACTGTTTATGTATATATTACCCTTCTGTGCATTACATGACTAAATTGTTCAGCTCAGGTTTCCCAACCGGCCAGGGTACTATTGCGTTCTTCATCTTCGACATCAACAAATCAACTCTCCCAACGGTAATCGTTGGCTTACGACCAATCGCTCAAAGATAGATTGTGTTTTCTCTAACCATAAAATAGTTATGGAAAGAAAACATATTCCATCTTTTTCCAGGCAGCTTATCAAATCAAAAATCCGGCCAGTGGCTTTAATTTGTTTTTATCGAAATTCGATCTGTATTCATTGTTGTTTACCTTCCTGTCGGTTACCCGTTTGTAGGCGGAAATTCGCGCACAACAATGATAGCGGCTTTGTCACCGGCTGATATCAATTACGAGGAGACACTGTCCACACTGCGGTACGCTGATCGAGCTAAACGCATTGTCTGCAAAGCAGTGATAAATGAGGATCCAAACGCTAAAATGATTCGCGAACTGAAATCCGAAGTAGCTCGGCTGCAACAGATCCTCAGTTTGGAGCGACTGGGCGCAGCTGCGCGTAAGCACCGACAGAATGGAGCTTTTTTTCGTAGTTTTCCGATTTTGATCTCCTTTTCCCACCCTTTCCTGTCTGGTGTGATAATTTGATAAGTTTCCCCAAGATAGCGCATCATTTGCACCAGTTTTAGCACGGAGTCTTCCGAACAGTGATGATTTGCTATGACAGGAGGAACTGTCGAGATCAGGTAACCAATCATACAGAAGGAATTATGAGTATTTGGGAGAAGAATTCGATGACGATATCATTTGTGGAGTAGCCAACCCTTTGGGCGGGTATGTCTACCGGCAAATGTCTGACACAGCGAGGGCACTACTTTGCTCTTCCTTAAAATGGTTTACACATCAATAATGTAATTCACGCAGTTATTACTTCAACTGCAATGTTTACTCTACAACCAAAAGTACAAAAAAGAAAGGGAGTTTGTTTTGAAATCATGCTTTGGAATGTACTAGAAGACGTCTAATTTCTGTTTGGAGGCGAACGCAGCATGAGTGTGAATCTGAATACATTTAGAGTTTTAGATTGCAAGTTGGTCCGGCAGTGGGAGAGTTTTGCATATGTAGAATGTGAGGAGCTACCTAGGATCGTTTAAGCAAAGGAGATTTGGATGAAGGGAATGAGAAGGCCACTGATGACCGCTGAAACGGTGTGTAAATTCACATAGTCTTTTCTAAGCGAAGATAAAATCAAGATGATCAGATGGGATTTGACCTACTGAGTGGCGTAGGACCACAGAACCTCTGAAAGCTTCGGGATGACGGCCGTGTCGTTTTCTACTACCATCTGAAGAAATCGATTAACGGCGACTGCCGTCTTATCCGTTCGATTAAATGCAGTCGGATTTAATTCATTAGCTTTTCGGTTCATTAAGTGACAAAGAAGGTTGAAGCCGTTTACTGGAACTTGTGATACAGCGCCAGACTTCATTCTTTTACAAAAATTTACTACAGATGTTTGACTGAATAGTCACGTCTTATCACCGTCTGTCTGAAATATTTTAAGCTAATAAAATATTTGACAAAAAGCTCACTAGCGTCAAACCTAAAATGCAAAACTTCTGATTTAGTGATGTCCGTTTTTTGCGGTGTAGCTGCTTAGCTTGGTAAACAAACCAAAGCCTACAAGAGTTCTCTGATGTAAGTAGTATGGTACGGTATCTGGATGACGGGACAAAATTTCCCCGGGAAACACACGACAGGTTTCGCTGTTGTTGCCACTGATCAGCATCGCGTATCCGGTACCCTCCGGCCCAATTACCCCTATACTTGAGTTCACTTGTGTAATAAATCTAGTTCTCAGTATGGAACGTGTGATAACTGTCGTTGAATATTTTAAGCTATGTTCATATCAATTACATAAAAAAGTGCAAAATAAGTCTCCATCTACCCATTACTGAACAGCTCCGCGTTTGTTAAAAGATAGTGAAACAACGACCAATGGAGAATCGGTTTCACCACTCCATGAGGAGCAGACTGTGACACTGGAAGCGCTGAGAGCTTCGGAGAAGTTGATTGCGGAACTAAACGAAACGATGGAAGACAAACTTAAACGAGCGGAACAGCTTCGGAAGCAACGGTAGGTTTTACTATCAATGAACTAATTTCATTTTGTATTTTTGGTGATAAAAAATCGATAACAAAACAAAATTCAATAATCGCCACGAATTCTTGTTTTTATTTACTCATTCAAAATTTATTCCAGTGAAAAAGAACTGATGGATATGGGCATTGCTATCCGCAGTGATGGTGGAGTCACTGGAGTGTATACACCAAAAAATGTGAGTTTTTCCTTCTACACGGTTTTTTTTCATTTCTGCACATAGCACTTCATTACCATACCGTTTATTCTAGGGTAAATGAACTAATTACGTGAAATACGGCGATAAGAAGATCCCAGCTGTCAGATACGTTTCCCTCTCCCTGGTTTTACAATTGGTCTCATGGAAGAAATCTAGATAATAAAAATGGTAATTTTGACTTTTGAAGTCCGATAGCTTCTTCTTCTCTCCGTCTCCCGGTTTATTGGAAGCTTGTTATGCTTTCCTACCTAAAGAAATCGTCATCCCGTTGGTTGGTAAAGTGAAAATATCCAATATGTAAGTTTCTGTCTACCACTCAGCCGAACAAGTGCTACGAGTTTTCCTCTTCACTCTGTGTTCGTAATTTTGTAGTGGTGATTCATCAAAAGACTGAGATTATCTTTTTGTTTTCTTTTCCAGTCAAGAATTTCATTGACGGTTTCCTAATGCTGTGAAATTCGTGGTTAAATACGGCTGCTGCTTCCCGCACTAACTCGATTTGTCCCTAGTCTTTCATCCTTGTATCACTCAGTCCAATCAGTGACCATGCTTTATCATATAAAAGTGAATGGCCGATCGATTATTTTATCGGTAATATCTGCCATACTCGTCACATTGACTACATCGGTCGCAATGATCAGTTGATACGACCTCCCAATTCCCCTCGGGGGCCATCATAGACTTTTGCTCTTATCATTTCGAATTCAACTCCTCCGTAGTGGAAGTTGATATTGCACCTTTGGGTCATGCCGAGGCACAGAGGTTTTAGGGGCAGATAACAAGTGACCGCTATCAAGTCCAACAAACACGCCTTTTGGAGAGCGGTGTGAGTAGTTGGTTCGCCTGAGGTTGGGAACCATTAACTTGAAGCTAAAATTGTATATTTTCCTTTTGATCAGTTTCATTCTGACAATATGACCGAGAAATTCAAGGTCACCAAGCTGGATACACACACCAAGTAGTGGTTACTTATTCCGATCATGACAGCTCGATGATTTAATATTCCCAAGCAATGAAAATACGATATGCATGAAATACGTTATCAGACCACACGAAAGTAAGTCCTGAAAACTGAGCAAGGGCAGTCTTCACATGCTATCGACACGGTCAAGCAAGCCGTCTGTTGCTAGCCGAGGTGCAACTGGATATTGTGGATCTCTCAGATGCAGGGCAAGTGCTCATATGAAAGCGGGGCAACCAATAGGCACAAACCAACAAGCATTTTGCAAATAGGCTAGGTTAATTCTGTTGTAGATCCGGACATTGACAAAGCCACATCGCAGAAGCTAAGCTGCGGGTTGTAATTAGCTTTCATAACGCTCGACAATCCGTCGCATTATCTTTTCCTGATCTCGGGGATGCCAGTATGTTTTCTAAAATTTTATATCTGTTTCCGTCGGTAGCAATAATACAGAGTTTTATGCATACACACGGAGCATTCATGTTACTCATAATTGGCCTGAAACCCCAGCGATAAGCGCTCAGGAGCTCATGGAACCACCACCTGAGTTCCAAACAAAGCCAATATTAGACCGTATCAGATGTTGCCAGGCTACGTTTAACACGTACCGTGAGTAGGGCACTCAACTAAATTCGTGTGTCCTGTGCACTTGAAGGCTGTCCGAGTATCCGAACCCCTAACAGAGATGTTTTGCTGATAGTGTCCACCTCACTTACAACCTATATGTTCAAATGCGCACATAACGTAACCTACATAGATCGATCAGCAACGAAACTATCTCAAAAGACTGTGGGTTCGAATCCCAGACGGTCTCCGGATATGTGCACTATTGGTGATTCCCAATAAGGATGAAATAGATACATTGTGCTTCTATGGTTTCCAGTGATTAACTGAGCGCTGATATAACATGATGTATCATATTGTACAAGAATAAGCGACATTATCTGCTTGGGTTCCGACGGGAGGAACAGTAACCACGCGACGTGCCATCCTCGGACATCTCTAGTGGACACAGGTAATCAAATAAAGAGATTCGGCATTCCAAATCGTGTATCGAGTGTCCCCTAATCTCGTACGTACATACTTGCTTCCGCAGAATCTGTCAGCATCCCTCTATTGGAAGTGGCTCTGTGCGCACAGAAAATTTTCACCCAAATTTTCCACTCAAATTGGCCGCAAGTCGACTGTCCCCACCCCAATGTTTGGGCTCAATGTGACTGTCTCGATCTAGTTACACAGATCAACACCTTGGTTTAATCACAACCATCCCCCCCACCCCCTTTCCCCGCACACACACAATCCCAATGACTTGATCTATATCAAAAGCCATCGTTTATAATGTTAGTCGTGCAAGATAGAGTACGAACCGCTGAAAGCAGCTGTTTGCCCCCTAACACGAGCTCCGATGCTGTGTTGTGCATATTTCGGAATCTTGACCAGTATTCCAAGTCATTTAGTATGACCAAACTTTGCCATGCTTTCCAGTGGAATTGTGATGCACTGTTCTATTGCCTGCTCAACTGCCAGCAGTTGGTCGGGTATAGTTGTTTGAGAGAGTCATCAGATGCGACGACAGACGCTTTATTATTTTCGCCCTCACGCTGGAACAAAGGGTATGCCGATGGTGTGCAACGATTTCTACTCACTGAATTCAAATACACAAGTTTCTTGAGCAGTAGCCAAATTATGCGATTAACAAAGAGTGCTTTATTGTTATCCAGTGACTGTAACAACCAAAAAGCCGTAGCTTTACTGGGCATTTTGGTTCCGAGGCCCAGCGGACTAGAGGGTGAAAAGTTTCCTCTGCATGTTGTTATTAGTTTAGAGCAATGAGCATGAGAAGCCATGGGCATTCTCGTAACCTTTATTTGCTTTTGTCTCCGCCCTAATTTCCACGCGAACTGTTTTTGACGGAAGCAGGAAGCAATTTCATGGAAATTTTCTTGTTTTTAAATAGACAAATTTATCTACGGTAGGTCCGCCCAGACATATTCTGAAGAACCAGCCTCATTTTAAATTATACCATACGTAGTTTCCAGTAGCAGCACACTTAAAACCTTAGTGTGGTTATTAATCGAGCAACAACAATGCTCAATCTACCTATTGCTCTAAGTGAATAACCAGACAGTCTCGTGAAGTTGTTTGTAGCGCCTTCGTCGCACGTACGCTCCGACTGATAAGATGTTCATATATAAGTATTCGGCATTTTAACGACGATTCATTAACGTCAACTAGCAGTGACTTGTGCACGTTCTATTACGTAATACTGTACTTCTTCGTATCATAACAAATATTAATCCATTCACTGATTAACAATCCAAGGGCACATTGCCTCATCAGTCCCAATTTTTTTATTTTATATCGACTTAAGTGCTCTTGTAGTATATATTATATAGAACATACTGCGGGAAGCCTGCCTCAGAGTTTATCAGAACATGTCCTGGCTTTTATACGCGAAAGGGCACTCTGGACTGTCAAGAACACAATCCTACAACATCTGGTTGGTAGTGGAAATGAGGACGTTACAGCGACAGGTTTCAAGTCAGTCCTGAGAGCTCCTGAGGTTCTCACCAAGGGATTCCACGGCGGTTGCTTATGACTTCCGAAGCCATAGAAATTCGGTTGTTGAAGCCAGAACTGTTCAGGCAACAAAACCTCTTGCAATAGTTGTTGTTGCCGTGCTCATAACTAGTGATCCTTCTTTAGTTACCGTGTAGAAGCTCTCCAAAGTCCACTCGTTCTTTCACACCGTTTCTCACACCTGAATTTTTGTCATTTGGTCACACATTTTGCGCATACTATCACATCACAAACAAAGACCAATACCTGCTTTGTTGCACACTTACTGGCCCACTGTTATCTGTAGCTGCACATCCACTCTCATTTACCCTGTACTAAATATGTAAACGCCTGAGATGATATACTGGAAAATTTCTTCGTATTACAAGCTTATTCACTTATAAGCCATAAATTAAGTGAAAAGTTTACACCCCAACCGAAGTTTTCCTAGCTTACACGGGGAAATTACAAACAGGGTTGGCAAGGTTTGCAAGAAAGAGTTCGTTTAGCATTTTTCCTCACTTTTAATTATTCCCATTACTCGCGCGGTAAGTTTGATCGTTGTGCGTCAGTGAGTACCCTTTGTCTTTGCTAGTATTTTGGAAGAAGATGACTACCGTGAGCGACAGGAAATACCGAAAGGGATTTTCAAGTGGTTACCACAAGCAACACAGCTTCAGAACGATCTCACAGATGGGGCCTCGCAGATAAATTTCCAGATGACTGCAAGTAATCAGAGTACTAAGACTGACGATAAACAAGCCCAACCAAGTTAGAGATAAATTCGATCGAGCACCTGCAACAAAATGAATTGATATTTTCATTTGCATCTGATTGCTTTCGTAAAGTTCCACCATCAGAAACACAACACATCTCTCCCCATATAGCGGTCGCTCAGGGCACGTACTGCCTATCCCATTCCCATGAACTGCGGTGAAGATATCAGTTGTTTACGCTTATCTTACGGCTATTTCCAAAAGAAATTAAAACAATAAAAGCCAAAACGAGTATACCAAACATCTATGACATCCGCCTACCCATCACGTGACGTTACGGAAGCTACAAATTTCCCCTGGGATAAATTCTGAAATTACCCGTCCAGATACAATCACGAATTTGCCAATCTAATTTCTACTTCTGATTACAAAGTGATTGATGGGACAGGATCACGGTTTTCATCGACTTTTCAGTGGGAAACCACAGGGTTTCACTGGAACGTATAAGAATGAAAGTTTGGACAAAGTTAATCAAAAAAGTAATTAGGAATATTGGCCGACCCGGAAAGATACAATCAAACTATTCAATCCACCTCTTGTTGGTATTTTGGGTGATAACTTTGGTGTTACGTGTGATGCTCTAGAAGATGGTGAAAATTATAGTAGTTGACCGCTTGATAGGGCTGAAAACTATGCTTTGCATCACACAGCCATCATTTAAACTCATAAATAGACATAGAAGTGCTAAGTGAAATATTATTAAAGGTTTATTCTGCCCTTCGATTGGATGCTGAGGGCTCGCAAATTGTACGTGAGAAGCACTGTCATGAAAACGCGTTCAGAGCTTTGAGTAAGGTGGAAGATGGTGTGGAAAGTCTATATCCTTTGCTCCTCTGACCCGGATTCAGTGATATATGTCATATATCGTAGTAAACAAGGTCCGAAGGGTAAACAGGACACTGATTTCACAATCTGACTGTCGAAATGGATACAATTACAGTACCACACTGTCGATCGTTGCATTCTTTGTAAGCTCACATTCACACCCGAATGATGCAGATTATTTAATTCATTAAAAAAATAATAAATACCAGGTGATCAGAGTTGGTAGCCATTTCATCTTAAATAAAGAATATAATGAAGCACAGAATTACATCATTTTTGGGGGTCTTGTTGAATAATATTCATGATTATTATTTTGGTAAATTAATTTCGGTATTTCTCCTCATTGGTTTCCAGACACCTCATTTGGTGAATTTGAATGAAGATCCTGCAATGTCTGAATGTCTGATTTATTATCTGAAGCAAGGTATAACTCGGTGAGTACCCACCAGTAATTGGATAATCCAGTTCTTCTCTGCTCAATAAAATGAAAAAATAAATTAGGATAAACATATACTGGTCTGCGTGTAACTGGTTTCCCCATGTGCTGTATGGTCTACCATTGACCAGACTACGGACTGCCCCAAGACCAAACAGAAAAACCCATTGATCGGTCAGTCGATAGCGACCATTATCGTACACGCATGCGCGCACATCACTGTAACTCGGCCCATACTATCGGGCGGTTGGGTGCAATTGATCAGACTTCTGCATTGAACCATACCGGCTTGTTGATTTGTTGCCGTCCTCGAACTCACATACTGCTTGAGTTTGCCTGTTGATGATTCATTTTACTACCTGTTGGGCTTCTTACTCGTGCGCATTAGGTGGTTGTTTGCAAAAATTCGTTTTAGTTGATTGAGCCGGGAGATAGAAATGGAAGGAGTTCATGACAGTATCTGGTATGCATAGCATTCTAGGTAGCGTTGTACAAAGTCCTGCCGAATGATAGTTGTAGTATTACACTTCATTCCCGAATATCCCTCATGCAACTGGAATTAAATAATGCCGAAAATCCAGATTAGAAACCCTGTATCTCTTATTTGGCTCATATACTTACTTAACCGACTGAAAGACCACTTCTCGGGAAGTGTGCAATGTACCAAAGTGTGAATAAAAGTTTCGAAACATCTAAGCAGTAACGCTGTTCTTCAAGATACCGTTCTTTTTCCGTATTTATTCTACACCTATGTAAGCTACCTAACCGTAACTCCGCTCAGCTCGTCTATTCAACTATACCGACGATATTGTTTTGCCTCAGTCTGTGTCCCAGTAGTACGATTTAGATGAGTTCACTGAAAATCTTTCGTACATCGAAAAGCTTCTAAGGAATATTCCTTATGGTAAACAATGCTAGGTGTTAATGGTATTTTTTCACTTTTCGATCACGTTTTATAGATGACATTATCATCAGTAACTCTAATTCCCTTGCGTGTGTCAACCGTATGAAATTTCTTGATGTAACTTTACAAAAGAAATTGCACTGGTCTTCGAACACCGAAGTTACTATTAGAAACTCGAGTCGTTTATCCTTTCAAATTCGTATAGTTCGACGGTTCAAATCTTCGCAGACCGTCACTTCTCCCTTCGTTCCCCGGTATATATTTCTCTAAAATCAGTACCTTTCATCCGAAATTTCTCCTGGTCTGTTAAAGAAGGACTACGTTATTCTAGGTAAAGGTCTGCGTATTGTCAGTTTGTTTTTGATATAGTCCTAAGAGATCTCATATTAGGTTTATGTGGTAAAGATAAAACAGCATCCGTTGCGTTTTCAGAAAAGATCATCGCTAACTACTCAGAACTTTATCTTAGACAATGTCACTCTTTGACCAATACTGCTGAGATCTAGGTAAATAACTGACAACAACTCACACTCTAGTGATTCACTCCAACCCACTTTTTAATCTAAATTATGGACTTCCTTTCGACCAGTATTTATTTTGCTGATTTTACAGTCAGCTATCCGAAAATAACTTGGACAGATTTTACACCAGTTGTAAATCAGATGTAAACGAATTCAAAAAATTTAAACTGTCAGTTGTTCTGGTCAGAATGTGAGTGGTGTACCGTCTCATTGATAATTAATTACGATCACCTGCATATGGGAACTAAATGATGAAAAAGACTTAACCTTTTCACCATTGATCCATTCCATACAGTTCATCTGAATGCACGAAGGGGATTATATTATTCAATATGTACCAACCAACACTTCCTCGGATTACCAAACCAATAAACAAGTGATACATATCCTACCACGAATACATTCGAGTTTGATTCAATTGAATCCCGGCCAAGGGAGTTCCGGTGTATGAATTAACGTTCGTTGAAATCACGTTTTCAGCTGAACGATACGAAGCATCTCGGTAGTTCCTAACTTCCGGAACCTACTTGTTTTCAATAGGTGGGAATTTCCGGAAGTCCTGCAGCGCAAATTAGTGGTGCGACTTGTTATTTACTTTTTCCGGGTGATGAAGCTAAAGTCTCTCGAACATATCAACTTTGTTTCACAGTGTAATGACTCGTGATATTTCGCCGTGACGTCCTTCAAATGTCATATATTCTTTTTTTCCGCCTTCTCTACCCCAGTGTTGGACAACTGCATTCGGATTCTGAAGTAGAAATTGGTCTCAGTGGGGAGTTCATTCTGAAAGAACACTGCAAATTCTACAATAAAGACGGTATGTATTCCAGCGTCAAAACGCTCTCCAGAATTTCACGCGGTTACCATCTTTTTCAGACGATTAGGCGCATCACGATCTCTTAATCACCGACGTTTTATATATTCGGTATGAAAACTAATTCAATAGAAGAAACATAATCGTGAAATGAGAATAATCTTTTTCCACTGACTTTTGCTTACTTATTTGTTGTAATAAATCTGAGTTATGATATTTTGAAATATATTTGCTGACGAAGAAGCAAACACAAACAATCCATCCGATATATTAATTTCATAATAGTTTTAGGTTTCATGGAGATAAAACCTTCTACATCGCAAGTCAGTTAGATGTAAATGCTGCACCCGATGGGAACGTAAGATTTTGTCATTATCAATGCAAAGGATCGATAACGGTTTTACGATGGTATCTAGCAGTCCCTAAAGGCCAAAAAGGTGATTGACAGTTTGGGTTGTTTGGAAGCAAGTGAATAAAAGCCCTGTTCACTTATATGGAATTGTTGTCACATTCAAAGATTTTGCAAAGTTAAACTACATCCAGCAGTTTCGATGGGAGGAAAATCGATCAATCTTGTGAGTGAAATTTTATCCACAACTGTTTCGTGACACTAACAAGGTGCTACGTTACCATGGAAATCGAACAGAATGACCATAATTTATAATATAACTAAGCTGACCGCTACAATAAAAACTGAACAATAAGACAAGAACTCGGTAATATATTGTAACCGTGGGAACAATAATTCACATCAATAGGTTCTTAAGTACAATTCCTCAGGCGAATTTGTCACCTAATCTTCTGCTACTGTTGTGGCCTAAATGACCACGGAGACATGTTGAAAGTTCCGTGTTTAGTTCACAGGAAAGTCCTCTGTGTTAATTTACGGATCTTTGAAGCCGTTCGAGTTATCTAAGGAGTCGATCGTTGTGCAGGCAATGGGTTGTTAACATGGAAAAGACCAGTGAAGAAAAGGAGTTACATCATACATCGGTGATGTGAAATGGACCGCTGGGAGGTGAGACAGGTTACCTGGTTGTTGGATGTTTCATACAGTCGTTCATTCTGAGTTCGTGTCCCAGAGGGAATCGGTCAATGTGTATTTCTACTGATTTATGACAGGAACAAAATGGCTGTACTGCGCTTCCATGGTCTCAGTGGTGGCAGGAACGTCGATACGGTGCAGTAAATCATATTATGAATAAATCAAACAGTCTACAACTAAAATTCACATCTTGAAATATATCGTGACCGAACTCAGTTCGTATTTTATGAAAAAATGACGCGCCATATGATATGTTCCGTAGCTGGGTAAACCTGTTTTGAGTAAGGTTACCAACAACGACTGAAATCTCGACTGACTTTCATTATTTCTGACAATGCAGGGTTACCGAAAATTGAAAGCTTGTTTTTTACATCTCAGAAGTTTATAAAGTTGTGACTGTGATACATTTTCATTCCAATTTCATTTTGTCGACTAGCACCTTCAATTTTTTAGTCTCGAAGTTTTTCCAAAGATTGAAATTAATTTTTCCAACAACGGTGTCTTTTCTTTTCCTATGATTTAGATTATGAGATATAAAATTAGCACCGTTATAATAAACAGAAATGGTATCTATAACAGTGTTTATCTCAAAGATTTTGCCGTTTAAAGAAAAGGCATCTATCGTATGACCAGTTAACATTTATCTATATGTGCAGATAAGATATCGAACTGACCGTTCAATCTGCTAGGATCTTAGCATTTTTTCTCATTTGAAGCACTATAAACCTACCGTCATTCACTTTCGTATGACTCACACATGAAATGCGGAATGTCCACAGCATAGTTCTATCACAATCCCTTTTTTGTTTTCCGAAACTGACGCATGTGAGCATCCAGCGACCTAGAACTCCATTCAAACAGCAACTAGTACATACCCTATTACTGCGGTAATTTCAAGGATGATCTCCCAAGTATAACCCCATTATCCACTATTACCAAACGATTTATCAAAGCTTATGGGAATGATGAGTTTATTGCTCCCATTTCAGCAGAAACAGTGACACGAAACTTTTACATATGGCTCCATAAAATAATCTAGAATTTTGATGAAAAGATGGAATGGCTTGGTAGCACTATGCACCGGAAATAAAGCATAAATCAATCATTATTTTCTCTTTTCTAATCAACACGCGCAACTAGTAACAGCTAATTGATTTCGAGTAACTGATTATACGAGGGGAAGCAACGAAAATTATATGGTTTGTTCACGTGGGAGATTTTCGAACGCAGATGAGCGTGCAATGAATTTATTGACAACAACTTTTTGACGCAGATGATATGCGCAACAAAACGTGTGTCCCGCCCAGTTTTGCAAATTTATTCTTAATAGAGATTAAGGAAATACCATACTACATAACTTTAAAGTCATATCTGAGAGCGTCGGAGGGTATTGCAAAAAGATTATCGAGGCAAAATGAGGACATGGCAGCTGTCGACGCTACATAGCATCATGACCCAAGCAATAAAGTAAACGGATATGGTCATATATCCGTTATCCACGTTACCTCGTTGCTTCCAGGCACAGATGAATCTTGAACGGCAGAAATTTTATTTAAATGCAAACATGCAGAACATCCCGTGTTTTGTTATTTTCGAAGTAGAATCGTTTAAAAAAGAGACTCAGCCTTCGAGCTAACATTCCCGCTACTACTAAGAGATAGGAACTTCTGAGAAAAATGTGTATTGTGCAGTTGATTTTTCTGTCATTCAGTACAATACATCTTGTTCACGATTTATTATTAATCAAGGTATTGTGGAATTCGAACCGTGCAAGGACGCTGAGTGTTACGTGAATGGGGCAGTTATTACGGTGAAGCTCGAACTACGGCCTGGAGCCCGTGTGATTTTGGGCAAAAGTCACGTGTTTCGGTTCAATAATCCGGCACAAGGTGAGCTAGGAACCGGTAAGGAATCAAATGAAAGGGTTGTAACGATCTTTAAATAAACAGTGTTTGTTTAAAAAATGGTCATCTCCTAAAGGAATCGGTTCCAAAAGGTCCATTTGGTAATGTCGACAAGAATGCTTATCTCGCCATTTGGCCTCTGTTGAAAAACCGTCAATTTTTCTTTTATCAATTTACCGTGCTCAAATCAAACTCCCTTTATAAAGTAGAACAAAAATTGGTAGGGCTAGCTATCGTTCAACAGGCTAGATGACTGACCTATTATACTCAGTTATTGTTTTGCTGAGAATGACACCAAGTTGTAACTACGTTGGTTTTTATACAGAAAAATATCGTTAGGTGTCAGACAATAGCAGCTTTCTTATTTGAATAAGAGTCGGGAAGTGGGTAGTTATTCACCCATCCCTAAATATTCAACTGAATTATGCCCTAGCATGTTTTGCCTACTCATCAATTGTTAGTAGACGAGTTGAGAAGCGGCATTAAGTAACTGGACATCAACCTACCTGTGTTAGCTTTGATTAGATAATTACAATGTTGAAATGAAATGAGCCATTATCTAGTTCATGGTAAATATTGGATGAGTCTCACCTATTCGTGTCCACTTAGATTAGTCTTATTCGGAATCAAACAAACACCCAATAAAAAGGACCGTAAGTCAAAAAGCCCGAAGGAAGACTGGACAAGGAAAAATCCTTGGAATTCAAACATACCAAATTGGGATACGAATAATCAATAAGGGATTTTCAAAATGAGTTGTATGGCATTGTGTCTGCATGACAAGAAAATGTTCCCCCGAAAACACATGGCCTACTTCGTGACTGTAGCCGCTTACGTGCTCCCTGGGAAACTTTTTCCTGCCATCCAGATACAAAGCCATACTACTAATTTCGAAAATCCATACTTCGGACCGTGTGTCCCCGTTCGGAAGGTTAGCCGTGTCAACCGAAAAACTAAATTTGGAAGAATCACCACGTGATTCTAAGAACACACTCTCCGTCCATGAAGGCTCCATACGATTCAAGTGAGATTACAGCAGTAAATCAATAACGATATTCCTCCCGCTTTGTTCAGACCATCGTTTTGGTTTTGGTTTTCTCCTATGCTCTTGCAACTAGATTAAAAACCAGTATACGAAAGTTTACTTTATGTTGACAACGCCTCGACTGTGCTTCTAATTCCTATCTCTTCGTCGTTTTATATCGGTACCCAATGGCTCTCATGGGGCTGTTGAATAATTCCTCATCATCCGGTATCATAAGGACATGAAAAATAAGTGCTTGTGCACACGCAATTTCTTGTAGACAAGTAGATACTTTTTCATTGCACTAATCCAAAGGTTTTTCGTTTTTTAGCACGCGAAAAGAAGGCCATACCAGTTGACATGTCTGGTGAGTGACCGTTGATGGAAAAACTGCACACATGACACCATGTGAATAATTCCGGTGGTAGCTAGTAATAACTGCGTTGTTTGCCGGTTAACGGAATGCCATATTATTCTTTTCATTGCGGTTTACGGAACTCAGTTGGACGTTATCACCATTAGCATAACTGATGAAGTTTGAAAGAAATAATAAGGACTTATTGCACTTGGATAAAGGTGAATGAAGAATGTTTTTTCACCTTTAATGTTATAGACGGATGAATTGAAAATATTTGCATGACTTGATTTCATTACTTAAGCGAGTAACAGATCTGTCATTGCTAACAAATTTTGCCACATCGGTTTCCAGAGATCGAGTAATAAAGAGAAAGGTCATTAGAAACTTGCTTCTACCGAACAGCGATTTCATAACCGCAAAGCCTCGGCGAAACTTCGATGGGAGTGACAGGTCAATATATTATCTGTAAACCTTAAAAATTATGAGGAGAGGGAAGAGTTCTGAACAGTTTCTGTTCTCACATAATAAATTTGTAGCCCACCTCATTTCAGGTAGTTACCCCTAACGGACCTTGCGTAACGTTTTTTAAAAACCCAAAAATAAGGTGTAGCGGTCCCGATAAATTTCAAGGCGTGATAAGCTGCGACTGTAACAGAAAGATGATTACACAATATGGAGAAATAAAATGAACATACACGTTTCATCCTACAGCCAGTGTTACGGAGCCAATCGACTGGAACTATGCCATTAGTGAGCTTTTGGACAAACAGGGAGTGGACTTACGCAAAGAGATGGAAGTCCGACTGCTAGAAATGGAGGAACAATTCCGACGAGAGAAAGAGCAATCTGATCGACTGTTTCAGGAACAACGTCGGGTGAGTTATTCAAATCATCATGCTCCAGATTTTGTTTTCGTTCTGAAACCGACTTTACCAGTTCATCACGTTTAAAACAAGAACCAGTGGTCCAAATGGACAGCTGTTCTACATTACTGAAAGTGCTGACCGCTTTCGTTAGTGCACGGTCGATTTGCATTTTTACTAATTCTGTGGAAAGAAATAGATGGATAATGATCGCTCGCCATCCCATAACGATCTGAACCGCTAATAACCTAACTCATCGACCAGAGTGCATCTTTTTTATCACTACGCATATGGTGTTACTCGAGTTAGAACGTTGGAGTCGGCAGACCTGCGGCTGGGCTTGCGAATATCAGCCTTTAAGTTTCTGCAACTACTGAAGCAATTTCCGGCCTGGTTTCTGACTGCCGAATAGCATAATTTGGGAAGTCATGATATTGAGGCTTCCTCTACATTTAACACATTGCTTCTTTTGCATTTTCTTCGCACCTACTTTTTGTATGAGGCTCAGGAGTTTTGATGGTAACCTCTGGTACTTCCGGACGTTCTTGTTTCATTACAGTTCCTAAGTCGATCTTTTAACTGTTGCTTATTGCTTTCATTTTCCATTTTTCAACAATTTCTGTCCTTGGATGACACAACGACTCAGAAAGCATCTATAAGGCTGATTTTACTACAAACCAGAAAAATGCGTCGTCTTACTTCTGCACTGCAAATTTGGCGTTATTGCTTGACGCTTCCGTATTTTTAAAGGTAATTTGCAGACGGCTGATTTTTGGCTTACAGGTGGTTTGTACAATATTCTTTCTGTGTAATTAAGGTACTGTACGCTGAAAGGAGAAGAACAAAATATTCTGCAGTACAACATGGAATACTCAGATAAAAACAACTTACAATAGAACCTGATAGTAAGCGTCTTAAGAAAAACTACTCGCAGTAACCGAAAAGTCCACTGACTGCAGCCATTCCCAACAACGTAGTGTTACCGACTATGAACATCTACGTATATTGTACAACAACGTACTCTAAAAGGATTTTGGGTCGGATGTATTAAAATGTAATTTATGCTTTTCCGTGGGATTGTTGATATCTCAAAACAACGAAAAAGGAACTGGTTCTCGACTGAATCACGAAAGATGAGAAATGTTTTTTTTCCATACCCACTCAGTGTCCTTGGACTTCAATAATCGATAATCCGAAGTTTCGATGTTATTTTCTCTGGCTACCCAGTCTTTTATAATCTAGCCAGAAGTTTCCCAAAATCAGGAAAATATTGTATCCGGAACCAAGCATTATGTCGTCAGTACTGAAATTCGGCAGCGTATAAAATGGAACGAACTCAACTAGCAAATATAATGAGTTCGGTTTTTTGTACTTCCAAGGTGCTGGGTTCAATTACAACGAGAAGAAAGGGTAGCATAAATGAGAAACTGTGCCTTAACTGAGGTCGACTTCCATTTTTATGCTCTGTCAAAATTTCGAAGAAGAAACGTTATCTTCTTATTACTTTTTCCATTGCCGATTTTTTATTTCTACCAAAACAAAGGTTGTGAATAAAAAAACTCTGCACAATTTACTTTTTGTCTACGTTAGCTCTGTGATGTTTTGTGGGCAGTTGAGATAGTCTGACCTTGGTTACCGTTGTAGTATGCCGGGTGTGATATTCTTCCCTGAGGTTTGCACGTGCACGATCTGCAAAGATACAAAAAGAAAGCTCCGTGAACCGGAGCTCAGTAAGTAGACAAGCAAGCAATAACACTTACACCGATGAAGATGGGCATGGCGATCTATGTCTGTGCTCGTTATAACCGTGAAATATACCGTTAAGGCTTGATTGACCAAATTTAGTAAATGGGTACATCTGAAAGAATTTTTAAATTATAAAACTGAAGCTCACCCCAGTTGGTTTTGGTCAATGATGCCGTTCCAGCCAAAAGTAGTTCTTTATTTCTGATGTACCGTTCATCTGTTTACTTAAAAGAGATGAGAAAAAGCAATGCTCGAACGTTTCGAGAACAGCCTTTTATCTCATGATTTAAAGACAGTTAAGCGGCCTGAGCTCACGTAAGAGCTGCTACGGGGTTTATTCGGAACACATAACCTTGACATCAAAGTCCTAAGTGCGTGGCCTCCTCAACGTCTGTCTTGTTTTCGCGAAGATGCAAAAAAAGGGCGTATAGAACAAGATAATCTCGATGCTTTAGTAAATAAGAGAGAGAGATATATAGTTCCGGTAACGAATCAGCCTTAGAGTTCCCGTGATAGAAAGATTCCGTAAATGAACGCACGATCTTCGCAATATCTATGCAAGACATGGTGTCGCTAAGAGAAGTGCTGGGTCAAACACCCGCATATCCTACTTAGTTATTGATTTCATCTCCATTGTCACAAAAAAGAACAACCAATCTGCAACGGGCATATCCGAAAAGAAAATTTATCACGAGAGTTTCCGGCACTATTAAGAAGAAGGATGGATCCGAGTAAGCTGCTCCATTTTTCGCCTGATCTAAAGTTTGTATTATTGATCGAACGAAGGGGAGGACTTGCCGCAATTAAGACAAAGCACCAGTAATTCATCGTCCTATGTCGCGCAAGTCGCGTCGTAGAAGGTTTGCTGAACATTAATCAACGGACGACAAGGTAATAGGTAGATTGTTTTATTTAAACACCAGTTTTGTCTCCTCCGTACAAAGTTCTATACGGTACACTCTCCATGATCCATCTGCTTTCTCCAACTTTCAGGAATATGAGGATCGTATCCAATGCTTACAGGAACAAGTGGACAGACAATCGATGATGAGCTCGAACACACAGGATGATTCAGCCCTGGATTATGAGACTACAAGTGAGTGGCATTATTCGTTGATTTCTTGAATTGAACCTTTGCAGTAGAACTAATGTTCAGGTCAACTTGTTTAAATAGTGAGATCACTGGCAATGTTTATTTTCATTCGAAGAAAAGATAGAAAGGAGAGAGTGGTTAGTACTTTCGTGGATTACCAGACTGAAAAACGTTGTGAGAATAAGTTTCGTTGTGAACATTAACTTTACGTCTTTCGTTTTGTTCGCAAAATAGAATGGAGTGATCGGTTAGTCGTCAGTCAACGCACTTAATTTGGCCGAGGCACATGTCACGGACGAAGTTTGCACTCGTAGGAATCAGACTAATTCATAACATAAAACACACAAATGTAAACAAAAACTGAAATCCTAGTAGAAAATCTGAAAGAGGTTACATCGTCGACGTTCTAGTCACAATATTCACAAGCGCCTTTCGGACATACTTCAGCGCTTTAAAATTTTGTTGAACACGCAAGTAAGTAGTTGGTATCGATACCGGATGATACCTCCTACCTGTACACCGAAAGCTCTGAATAACAGAGAATTGCCAAGCTAACAAGATGCATCATCTTCGAATTAAATTTCCTACTGCTTGCACTGAATACTTTCCAAGTAAATTCATTTGTTTCACTATCAAATGTTAGACACGGATTTTCCCAGTCATTGGCACTATTCAGAGTTCAGACAATAGCTTTCTTGAACTTTTTCACGTTTTGCAGCAACTGTTCTGGTATCACAATGTCGTACTAACTATGTATATACATCTACATAATATGATAAATCATATTGTTTTATCACTCAGCTCCTCATTTATATCCACGGAGCTCCCAATGGAACTCGAACATGGATCGAGCAACTATCATCCGGGTTGGTACTCAGTGGTTTGTTTACCGCCAGAGCCACAAGATATGGAAAGCTCCCTCATACGGCAAAATTATCCCAATACTACATGTTAGAAAAGAAAAGAAACACCAGGGAAGAGCCAAAGAATAAACTTCGTATTTTGTATGGATGTTTATCGAACTGGAAGATTTTCTAAGAAACGTTCCACATTATCAATGCGCTTTTTACACCGCACATCAGATCACTTATCTGTAAGCATCACAATAGGTATCGGTATGTCCATCAGTGAAGAGATCGTCTCCCTTTGAATGATTCGAGATTGTGATGTGAGCTTGATCACTTTCAATTATTTTGCCTCTAGGTGAATGTGCTTGGACCGAGCGTGAATTCGAGCTGGCTCAGTGGGCTTTCGAGAAGTGGAGAACCCATCAGTTCACTTCACTGAGAGTAAGCAGAAATTCCAAACTGTCTTCTGATTAAACCTTCGAATTGTTGAGAAAGCTATTGAGTGAAAGGAAAATATATTTGGAACGGATTTCGCTGGATTTGATGATCTGAAAGCTCGTGGCAAATTGCTAGTATGCTACTATTATTACCGAAATTTGTGCTCTCTATTTGTATTTATAGGATCAACTTTGGGAGAACACTGTCTATCTGAAGGAAGCTAACGCGTTGAGCGTTGAACTTGGAAAGAATGTAAGTTTTATATAAGTAATGAAGAAAGAACGGTTCATATTTTCTGATAGATATTAGGGTTCAATTGGACGTTCGTATGTGAGTTTCATGCGCGGGGTTATTCGCTCGCTTCTAATTAGTAAAACACCTAGATCTGTTCACTGTGAAGGTTCATGACAATTTATGAATCAAGTTATTGCCTCAGTTAGTGTGATGTAAAGTTTGCGACCTGAACACTAAGCTCAGTAATGAAGGGCCCACGAAAGCCGTCAGCCTGAGTTAAGAGTATCACCCATATATACTAGACTTGCGAATTCCAACCAGTGATCGTGAAGAAGAATTTGTTTCCTTTCTTCACTTTTCAGGCTATATATTCAAACAGATCAAAAAGCTTATTGGAGCAGTCAAATAAAATGAAGGAAAGTGTTCACACTTGTAGGATCTAGGACAACTTGATCGTCAGCGCAATCATATTTTTGCTAGTTATTAGTGTGTTCCTCGTGATTCTGATTGCAATATAGCTGTGGCGATGGCTGCCTTGAGTACTGGAGAAGGCGTCTTCTTTTGTAAGGGTAGGATTGGTGGGTTCCTGTAGCCACTGTCTCGGCTGTGAGCGAAGCACTAAATAACAGTTGTTTCGGATGCAACCATATCAACGATTAGTTATAGAATTCCGAAAAATTCCAGAAAGAATGTTGACTAGCTGACGAACTTCTCCATCACCTCACCTTAGCCGATAACTGATGCTTCCAGGTTGCTCTCATGACGAGCTGGCGCGGAATTGAATTTGCAGTTTTGCCAGAGAAGAAAGTTTCAAGGAAGTCTTGAATATTATCTTAGTACAGAACCCGTTTTGAGATGGAAATTGGTGTATTATTTTCATATTTACTGCATCTATATATCATCAGTGGAAGAGCAATCTCTGCAGCATGCACCTTACGGTTTGCGCAATAGGGCGGAACTTGTTTGTTCCATCTAACTACTTCAGCTCTTTCCAGTTTGTGCTCTTAACCCTCCGTAGTTTTTTTAAATAATAAAGTATAATAAGTGTTCTGTGAGGATTAAAAAATTTCTCCGAAGAGATCGTACTGTAGTCTGATTCAGAAGAATCTTCAGGCTTCAGTCATTTACCGGAAAAGTAGTCCATTCACGAGACCGAAAATCAACCGAACTGATTAAACTTACTACACAGTGTGATCTGGTATCTGTTTGCGGCTGCAGTTTGGCTGAACATCGACACAGTTCAGTCCAAGTGATTTGGGGAAATCAGAATGATTTGCAAGTTTTAAACTCCGCATTACAGAGACCTTTATGAGAACGATTGTCGGCATTATTGAGCATATATGCTAGGTGAGCGCTTACTGACAAAATATCAGCTCAGCAAGGGATGAAGTGTTTGGGATCTTGAAGCTAATCTTACCTATTATAGGCTTGCGAAAATTTCGGAATAATACTTCCACTCTATGACACTGATCTGAAACCAAACTTGATCCGTTTCTTTCTTCTTTACACATTGTACAAATGACCACTAATGTCCGATCTTTTTGTCTATAAGCATTTTACGTAGGCGAATATTTCTCCTTCACAGAAAGATTACAGCTAGTCAAAGGTTCACTGTTAGAGGAAACTATTCCAACAGATAATGTTTTTAGTTTTTAAACTGCATAATAACTACATTTAGCCTTTCTTCAGAGGGTCAAACATAACATCAAGACCAAATGTGCAGCAAAAACACACATTTCGTTCTTTTTATTCACTCTATTCAGATCCGGTTTCAGTTCGCGCTTCTCACAGACACTCCGTACAGTCCGCTTTCATTGGACTTGTCCCAGTCGCGTATTCAGAGTCCGGCAGTGGATAATTATAGCCACTATTCCTGTGATCACGAACATTACATCGAGCACAACGAATGTGATGATAGGCACCAGACTGCTGAGGACCGAACACCTCGACCAAACCGGCCGGTGTATACAAATACGGTAGACACAACGTATGTGAGCTCCAGAGGTTTGTCTTTGTTTCGATCGAGTGGCCAGGAAGAATTGCCGCGTTCACGTGAAGAGGAAGGTCCGCGAAAACGAACGGTTGTGGCCATCGAGGTGCAAGATTTAACTACTGGCGCAAAACACTACTTGAGTTTGGATCGGTTTAAGTAAGCTCGACTAATATACACGTATGTAATTTCCGTGCCATTGTTCGTTTTTGTAAACGACGAATGTGAATAGCCATGAGTATGCTAATAGTGAAGTTAAATACGTTGTATTGATTGTTGTATTGTGGAGTACTTCATGGTTGCTCCAGTCGTTTGATTATATTGACCGTGGGCCAATTTTGACTTCCGTAACAACAAATATCTGTTAGCTAGAACTAAATTCCACAAGTACACAAACAAAAAGTTCATCCTTTAAGAATCTGAATATAAGAGAAATATGCTATCGACGGGAAGTCAGACTGAGGTTTTTTTTTGGTAGCCAACCGCTAGAAACGATAAATTACGTAGCGATCAAAAGTATTTTCCAGGACTTTCGGATTCTATCTTATTTAGATTGGTCATTTTGTGAAGAAACTCGAATTTCGCTTATCTAATGTGGGTTTTGTCCAGTATTTTACCGTGTATTCATTGTGAAGATAACTTGTGGAAGAGGAAATGCCTACTGAAACAGCTACAACTGATCACTGAAATGACAAAAACATTACCACTGGACTACCACCGTAACCGGCCTTCAAGTCACCAGTTAACACAAGTCCCTAATGCTGCACATGAATTCGCAAATTTGTTGTTGATCTTTTTCACAAATTTGCGCTCAAAATTTCAACTGGATTTGGATTCATCATTACTTCGCAACTTGAACGGAAGCGGGCTCAGCTTCTTCACACGTTTCTCGTGTTACGTGGACAGTCGGAAAGAATCCGAGCACGTCACAAATGACCAGTTCACGCGCCCCAGCTCATCCTGTCTGTTCATCACTTCACCATGCTTCATTGATAAAAAAAATATATGACTAACTGTTCAGTTCGATTTTACACACAAAAGTATTTCTACGACCTCGTTAAAGTTGTTTTAGACTCAAGAAGTTACGTAATGAATTATTCGGAGGAGACGATAGCACAGTTTGTTATCAGAGGACAATGAGAGTCCATGCGAAAAGTCATACTGTCTTACAATTTCTTACTTAGTCACTAATCACTTTAGTTGATGAAATGTTTCAACTGGTGCATACTGATTACTCGTGAAGTACCGAATATCAAGTCACCTGTTTCTCCTAGTATCTTGATAACAGTCGGCTGCACTGCTTTATTGAACAGTCCCAATGGCGTTCCACTTGAGCCTTATTGTATTTAGGTGAAGAAGTCTGTTTAAATACAGCCCGGTAGTGATCGAATGACTAAGAGCGTTTACTTTCCACCTCGTAGGTCAGAGGTTCGAATCCCATCACTGTCGGTCACACAGGTGATAGACAGTAATCCACTGTCACCTGGCTCGCAATCACGTCTGACCTCTTGGGACCTTAGGTGGTTTTCATCTCCAAGTCTCAGGTTCTGGTTGCTGATTATCTGTAATAGTTCTGCGAATTTCGAGGTTATGAGGTGTATACCCATTCCGCTTTATTTACGCACAATTATGTGATAAAAAAACCGAATTCGATTATCACTTGGGACATAGTAGACGTGCCCTTTAGTTAGCCATTCTCAAGTGGTACCAGAGCTTTTCATGGTGTTTACGGGGCAGTTGAAGCATATCTTTCTTCTGTAGGTGGTGACGACGCTAGGTCACCTGTGAATGCAACCCAATTTCAAGTATACGTGACATGCTTGTGTAAAATCTAAATATTATACTGTACTTCTTTCAGGTTATCTGCAGACCAAGGGACTGAGACAGTTTGAAAACAATAGGCTATATTGTGTTTTGACCAACTTTGTTACAACATTCGAGTTTTGCGTTAATCCCTTGTTAATGATTCTCAGAAAACGTCTCATACGGATGCGACAACACTATGATGCACAAACAGAATTTTCTTCGGCCACAAAACCAGAAACGACTGCACCGTGTGACGACTTGTCACAAACAGGTCGGGGAAGCGATGACCACACGGTGTTAGACGAAGATGCTGACATCAGAGATCCGTTCCAAGAACAAGCACCTTGGTTTCGTCTCATTGGGAGGTAAGAGCTAGGTTTTCTTGAACGGCAAAGCACACTATGGAGTATGATTTGGTTAACATTAATAATCACATGCTTTTGCGCATTGTTTTTTTAGATTATTTTAGATGGTTGATGCAATTATTATACTAAAGTTCGTTGGGAATTGTGATGGAATACTGTCGAATATTTCATACGAAAGATGATGGAAATAAATCCAAAATATCACAATTTTCGAACTTAATATGGTTTCAAAACTGAAGTCACCCAACGGCTAGTCATTTGTATGGCTGCAAGTTCGATAGTATGCGGATGAATGGGCTGACAGCAAACAATTTCGGAAGTGGATAATTTTAGGTAGGTCAGGGCCTTTTCTCAACATGCATGAGGAAACAGTGGTGAAATGTTGCACAGATCCTAGGCAGATGGATTTTACTTTATATCTCGGGGCGAAAGGAGGAAAACCTGGCGTACCCATGCAAAGTAACCATTCTTCTCCATAACCTCGCCGTGGTAGAAACATGGGACTTATAAACATTTTACTCGTAACCTTATCAGTTTAATTTATCCGCTTATTAATGTATGATTTATATTGTGCATACGATATGATACAAATAAATCTTTCCCGCTAGCGGCCAGATTTCTAGATTCTGAACAGAAGAGTGCTCTTATTGCCCAGGTAACTGAAGAAACGGAACCAAATTATGAACTTTGTGTTTTTCGTTACCTGTATCCGATGACTTTTAGATCTTTCGTCTACCTAAGTAATCTTTACTTTGGTACGACTCTCATTCAACGAGTGGCTATTGTGGATGCACACAGTCGTGTTTGTGGTTTCATTCGCGTCGCTATAGAACCTGTTTCGGCAAAGTCCAATGAAGTCCCGAAGGTATCAGAAGAAGCGAACATTACCTGCATCACAAATGATCTACAGTTTGATGATAAAACATACGTGCAAAAGGTAAGTTAATTCAACTATGCAAAGGGATGCTCGATTGCTAATATTGCTTATCAGTCATTGTGAAACGCATAACGCTGAACCTCCGACTATGAGCTCCATCACGGTTACTCGATAAAACAGTTAAAAACGTGTTATGTGGTTTGGCAGATCTTATAATGATCCGACGGATCGAAATGTGAATGTTGTTCTTGATCTCGGAGGGATTCGATTCAACTCATGGACTTCATCCTCTTGCTTTAGTCCCGATGGTGGTCAGGCGGTTATCACGGGGAACTTCACTTTTTTGTCTCAATTTCGGTTCCAGCTGACGCCGACTAATACTCTGTTCTGTAGCCTCTACTTGGTTGCCCACTCCCTTCCTGAGATATTGTGCCTTTTATACATACCAAATAATGAAGGAAGTAAAAATATCATCATTATTATTAATGCGTATGCTCTAAAAGCTCAGCTATGAACCGTACCAAAGGGCTTTGGATATAATTACCAAATAGAAACAACAAAAACCTCATCGTCAATCACTCAGTGTATTCCAGTTAAGTTCACAATAGTTTGCACCTCGCAAGATCAATGAAACTGGAATATCTTTAGGTAATTTGATAAATGATCATTGCTCACAGTCAAAAAACACTATTCAGTGTCCAAGCAGACTCAACGTCCATTGAGTGTTTCAATCACTGGTCAACCTAAAATCAGGGATATGGGTGGAGGGGAGAGGGTCGGTTCCGTCTTGAATCAGAGAGTCTTGAGTTCTACGATTCTGTCGCACATACGAGTGGCAAAGGTGAGTGGGTGATGTGTAATTTGTGGGCGGCCATGGACGAAGACAAGAATCCGAGGCTCAGACTCCGCTTTCTCATATATCATTCAAAAAGTTCAAAACAAAATTAGCCTTTCGGCATTTTTCACTGTCACAAAACCGGAACAGGATCTAAAAAGTCATCACAAAGTTTTCTATTATTTTACACTAGTGTGGAAGGTAAGCATTTTCGGTGCATTATTCGTATAATCCCCTCGTACTTTTCTATCACTGTATGAAGCAGCAACTTTCGCAGACAGTTAAAACTGAAGTACAACTTTTGCGACAAATAACGTTAACATAACGTAAATTTATTGACTTATTCTTCTTCAGTGTCTGCCATTCTTTCTGAACAACTGCATCCGAGCTATGGACACTTACGAGGCAATCGAACAGCAATCCGAAGTTGATGGAGATCAGCCGGAAGCAGCAGACCTCATCGAGACGGACTTGGTTACTCCAAAACCTAGATTATCTAAGGCCACAGGATTTGATCATCTGGAAAGTAATCACTTCTTCTCTCAAGCCACTTTAAGTGAGTTCACTCAGCTGTATGAGACGACGAAGGCTGTTTTAGGACAGCTTGGGGCGTTTTTATTGATCCTCACAGCAATTACCCTAAATCATAGAATATACCCATCGGTTCATAAAAAAGCCGCATTATTAAGCGATAAAAAACTAACCAACTGAGGCCCATCTACAGGAATCCGACCCCAATAATAAGAGTAAATAACCACACTACTGCGCATAAGTGGCTCGAGATTACGTCTGTACTATATCATTAATAATATACCATCACCCCTCAACACATCATTGGAAATCACGGAAGCGCTGAACAGCCGTTTCAACTGATTTGTTTGGAATCATCGGTAGTACACATTGACCGAACCTAGACTGGGACTCGAACCTGGGAGGGAAGGTTTTGAGGTGAACACCTGACCACCGGGGTATCCGGGCTGGCTCTCAGTGGTATTAAATTTATGAACTACATGATAAATAATTCAGCACAACAATATATATATATATATATATATATATATATATATATATATATACGTTCACTAGGATCCAATATGAATCGTCTGGAGTGTGAATGGATATTCTTCAAAGAAGAGCCCACAAATGGATCACAACTGTGATTTCGTTTGCATACTACTTACTATCAATATGGGCGCTTGCACATGCAGCCTCGTTGTTCGTTGGGTTAGCAGTGACCCAGACACGAATAAATATAAGAAATCACAGTTGTGATTCATTTGTTGGCTCTTCAATGAGGAGTATCCATTCACACTCGAGACGATTCAAATTAGATCTTAGTGAACATATAACATCGGAGTGTACAAGTATGAAGACGAGTGGGCAGATGAGTACCGGGTACGCATACCTGATGAGCGGCAACAACCGCGAAACCGGTCGTGTGCTTCCGGGGAGATTTTGTCCACTTCGTTTACATGCTACTTACTATCAGCTTTGCGGGAAGTTGTGAAGCGATTACTACAAATTTCTTTCATGATATTGTGAGGAAGGTGAACGGTGCACGTTAAAGGAATAGTAGGTCTGCAGCTGACTTTGAAATCCCGGGGGTTATTGGACGAAAGCTGTGATTCTCAACTGTTGGTCAAAACATCAGAGCAACCGATAGAACACATCCAAATAGGTGCAGCAGTTTTAGTTCCAAGTAACCTAAGACCTACGACCTACGAATAACAAGATATCAACGACCAAATTGATGAATTTTCGAAACAAGAATGTATAACAACTGATAGATTTAAGTTAAACGGGTGTCCACATAATGTTTGAGCATTTTATTTGAAACATTAGTTCATTAAGGTACATTCTGTCACAAAACATTGAGAAACACCCTAGGTACAATAAATTGGCAACAGTTATGTCGAAATTTTCATTGCAGACACTAGGTGCACCTTCAGCGATGACTAGGTAGATGTCATAGTGAGATTCATTGATTCTATGGCGAGGCAACCAACCGACTCACTTCCCACGTCTCACTGCCTCAAAAGTCGGTAATCTATACCATTGTCCGCACTGTTTTGGAATTAGGTCAAAATTATTTGGGATTGCCAACCGATGGGCTATTTGAGTTTTCCTCCTGAATGGTCTGAAGACCGGCGCATCTATCACTCTTACGGATTTCTCGTAGGAAGCCACACCGAGCCCTCGTTGCCTGTGCATAGAACCATAAGGAGCGTCCACCATTACGCACGTAGACTCGACTCTGTCGTGGTCAGAGCTAAAAGACTCAGTAACTATCGTGCGATCGGTTACAGTGGAGCCAATTTATCGACTCTATAGACGTATTTCAACTGTCTGACCACTGATACGCGGCCCATGATAAGAGTTGTGCTTTATGCAGCGGTGTGTCAAAAAAGTATCTGTTCATTTTTTTTGTATTTCATCCACGACACAGCTTTGAGCTTTTTTGTAGCCTTCGTTTCGAAACACTGACTCCGATCATGGCTGTCAACTTCGACAGGTGTTATTTGAGGCTAGACGAGTTAACATTCATTTATCCAACTTCATTATATTTTTGAACGACTACTTCACTTTCAGGAGCACATTGCTTCTTGAATTCCAGACTCAGTGGTTTAACATTTATCGACTTTTTACACTGCCTAGTGATTTCACACAAACTGAATTCCATTTGGTAAAACGCCGATATCTTTCCCCACTCAAAATCTATTAGTTTATTCCCGTTTGACATAGAGCAGACAAAATTTGGGTGTCAGTTCTTTAAGAGGTATGTGGGCTTCCGAGGTGAACGAAGGTCACCTAGGCCACTAGTGTGAATCGCGTGCTCCAGAGCACACGAATCACGTAGTGGCTCTTACCATAAATTTGTCAGTCACCAAATCTACAAACCCAACTAATTAGCTCATTGCGCGACTCAATGGACTGTCTGGTTCTGCGAAATTTTCCATGGGATAGTGCAATGGAATAGGGGGTCTTATAATTGTCACCCTCTTTTTTCAAATTTTCCGTTCCAATTAGCACGTAGTACATAGTTTCATTCTGAAATTCTGCTATGCTGCATTTCACTGTGCATTGAGTCGTTCCTACCAGATCTGGTTTTGTTGAAGAATACGTAAGCGCAGGGTATGTGCAGAGTTCGCAGCCAGGCGAAAAACCGGCCGCGCTGTCTAACAATGCCACGTCGTTCTTGTCCGGTAACTCTTCCTTGGCCTGTCCAATGCAGGGACCCTGAAGGATGGTCTTGAGCTCCCTTCGACTTAACCCTCGGGGTCACTGCAGCAAGCAAACCCGATCTGGGGAACGTAGCAACATCGATCAGGGCACATAGTAATAAATCGGAAAAATTCCCAGAAACGGTTGAACGAAAGATGCTTAAAGTGTTGTGCACACCGAATACAACTGCCGTGTTTCACCGTAATCTATGCTTCAAGGTTTTATTTCACAGCGTAGTTTTACTTCATCTTTTTGCAAAATACGTAACTGACAAACCGTTATCGGTTTAAAAACCAACTGGAATTTCACCACATCCGTCTGTCTTCATCTTGCTTATGGTACACTCCTTGTAGCGGAAAACCAAACCACTTATGAATTGGTGCTTCGGGAACAGCTTGGTCAGACGACGGATCAAATCCCCAAGGCGATAGAACCGGGGAAGGAATTCACATTCTGTGTCACTGTGTTGCAACTTTACGGTGTCCATCCTGCATTTACAGATGTATTTTGTCAATATCAGTAAGTTTCCACCAAAGAATCATAACTCAAAACTCCTTCAGTGTACCATTATTCTTTTGGGGCGACGAGACGCAAAATATTGCATCTAGTCTTCTGCTCTGTAAACATGGAACAGGCGGTGAAGCATGACGATAGCGATGAACTTAGCTTGACCCGAATTCCCTCTTGGACGTTGGCTGGGTCGTGGTTGGAAAAATTCTTAGTAGTGCTTTTGGGTCATCAAACCACTTTCGTCCGTCGGGACGATTTACTTATCAGCATGACTACGGGATGTTCAACGCAGTATATTACCAGGAAACGAGTCCATATTGGTTGATGTACCATTGACAGTGCCGTCGATCTACGCCGGTAGCTTTGTGAAATCCCCCAGTGGTCTATTAGGGCACCTTTGACGGTATAACTCCTAAATTCTGTTTTTGTTCACTGTCTTCTCAGATTGCCAATGCCGTGTAATTTGTTACACGTAATACTGAATAATGCAAAAGCTGATTCCTGCAAACTTTTCCAGTGGCAAGAACTGAAATCCATATCTCCGAGGGTGAACACACTATCGGTAAACAATCTGTGCAAAAGATGAACAAGTTGTTCTGGTCGGATTATTTCACACGCTTGCAGACGGGATGATATCCTCGATGTGTTATTTCCATGACAGAATGCAGTTACAACAATCATAATCAACGATTTTGATCAAGCTCGGCGCTTTTAATTCCTGAGTCTCAACCACAAGTTGCATCCACTCAAAGACTAAAGACCGTGGAAGATATGGCGTAACTCCACAACCTATGACGTTCTTGTTTTAAAGATATTTTATCTTCTACTTTAGGCCCTCATTTTTATTTGTTTCTTTACTAACTTCATGCTCTTAGTCCTTTAGTTTCAAATGTTTTGATGCCTGGAAAATTCAGAACTGCTACAGCCGGGGCATGTTTAATGTCTGTTGAAAATGGAACTAAAACTATATCTGAAATATTTTACTTTCATCTCGGTTGCATTGACGTGCCCTCAGTGGCTTGCACTGTTGATTTAGACAGAATGTACACCACGAATAAGCTGAGCACACCGATCAACCAAAGCACACTAGCTGGCAAACAAGCCTTCGACTCTACACAGTGAAGCTAGTGAATTTTCAATAATTGACCAGAAGATTATCTTAATAGCTGTTTTCAATAAAAGCATTTGCATTATTTTATGAAATTGTCTTTGCACCAGTAAATATATCTACAGAATATTCCACACTTCACTGTTATGCTTCACCGTGTATACATAAGAAGAACCGCAAAATGACCCAAAAAATCATTTCATTTATCATCATGCGAATAAAACAAACGGGGTGTGTTGTTCCAGCCGAAAATATCCCATAGCGAAGATAGTTCTGCTTTGCCTGATCGGTTGACCTGATCGTGGTTTTTCTTTTGTTATTGTTTGATATGATTCGTTTCTAATCACCTTGCTTCCGTATTTTTTATTTCTTAACAAAACTCGCTTCTCTTTTGAAAAATCTTAGTTTCCTGCATCGACCGGATGAAATTTACTGCACAGAGCCGATGGACAACCCGAAAAGTGGAGAACCCATTGGAGTTTACCATACCCAAGTTGTGAGTTTAACCTGTGAAACAAAATAACATAAATCGAAAGCGTGTGCATGCTGTGGACACGGTGCACCACTTTCGGCACTTCGATGCAAATGTCAGTCGCTCACCCATCAGAGATTTTCATTTTAACGATGATTTACTGCGTCAAAGAATTTTCCAACAGGTTGGACTACAGCAAATATAGTTTTTATAGAGGAAATATAAGGTCAATAACACGGGGTTGTCATGTCACACACACACACACTCACACACCTCTGTTGACTAGTAGCTGATTCCTCAGAGTTATTTGATCATAAGACTGCCTTACAAAAGGTTACCCATGGCGTTCGAAACTTCGGCCTATAACCTTTCAACGACAACGTCGAGTTACTGGCATTATATTTCCTCGCTTAACACACCACATGGCGCATCATTTTTTTCCGATACACTCCTGACCCGTTCGGGCCTGACATACTAGTCTTTATAGAGATTCTGTACAACCATTCTGTACGATTATAATTCCTAAGTGCTTCAGATTGCAGTGGTGTATTATTTTTTCTACCAGAAATAAACGATTTAAACTTTATATGAAATAATCCATCACAAACTACTTGATAATGCACTGTACTACTTACTATGAACCGGTGGCTATCGTGCATATCAGATGAGTCCCAACTGGGAGGCTCGAACCCGTGCTATACGGTTATGAGTCACAAGCGTTGTTTTTAAACTTTATAACTGGTAATATTAATCGTAGGGAGTACTGAACTGCGGTTCCCTTGCCGAATTGTCAACCAAATAATTATCCTGATTTAGTGATCGAGGTAACCGGTTTCGTGGAATTCCACGGCAATACAGTCGTTTTGGTTGCCAGAAATGCGAATTTGATGAGAAATCTATTTATGCATCACTAAACGAATTTGTGCCGTACCACTTAAATCTGCAATAGCATATTACCGCTCAAAACCCCAAAGCTGAGGGTAGATGTCTGTATTAGTTAACCACCGAAGTCAGTGTCGATCCTGGAGTGACAACCCATACAGACATTTGCCTTCCAAACTTCACTTAATCCCGGTGGGTTATTTCGGTTGTGGCATATGATTCTTATATTCCAAATTATAATTACCAAATTCGAGCTTGAGGCCGTGATGAGTACCAGTTGGAAGTTGGGTTGAGGTGGCCATTACGTGATAGAAAACCTTGACAATTGACCACGTCGTTTTCTGATCTAGGAAATCCGAATACGCGAATATAGGATACACCAGTACTCAAATATCACGAACGTTTTCGAATTTTAATTCCACTGTTAACTGGTCATTTTGCCCCAGTTGTTTCGCTTTTGTAATCTTACGGTTTTCTTGTTGGGCCAGATTATGCTAGGGTGAGGTGAACACTACAATCATTGATCTCATTCGTTAGAAATTAGTTGTCGTTCAAGTATAGTATTGGGAACTTAGTCGTCTTCGAAAGTTTGTCATTATCCTTTAGGCAATTTATACGATGTGAAGCCCAGGAAATAGGGAAATGAATAACACTCATTGTGCTGGTGTGATGTCAAGTCGATAGTATTGCCTTTATACACTGGATTGGGACATTTTCAGCATTTACACCATATCTGTGGATATAAACCTACGGAACCAGGAAATGAGAAAAAATTATGGCCATTTTCAACCGAGCAAAATTTCCGTAATTCTCTGATAAATTTTTCTGGATCAACAAGCAGGCGAGCATGATACGGCGAAAAAGAACTGAGTTATGCAGTATTGCGAGTAAATAGAAATTTGAACTTTGAGCGCGCACTTGTTGCGGACGCATCTTTTGAAAATTTGTCGTTTGGAGGATGATGAATGTCCGAAAGTATTTCGTGGGTAAACTGGCCACGAGCGTTGAAGTGTATATCAGTGATAGTATCAACAAGCGTATCTCTGGATACTCCACCGCAGAGAAGTGTGTTATAGATCTTAATATCAAGTTAAATCCTTTCTTCAAAAGACCAGGAAAAATAACCGTAGAGCAGTACAACCAGTGGGGAGTGAACCATGCAGTCACAAGTTCATAGTTTAACTGACAAGAGTCCAAAAGCAACTTAAGCAGAGAGACAAAAATGCCAAATTTTAACTTTACAAAATGTCTATTAAACATGCATGGACCATTGATGATTATGATATTGTGTAACACCAAGATATTTAACCGCTGGTGATTTTGCTATAGGCTCGCTATTCGCACATGGGGGGAGGGGACCTACCAGTAAGGGTTCTATTTGTCTCACCAGAAAGGGAAATAATACATCCTTGTATTGCGAAACATTCCGTAAAAGGGGACGGTGTGAAGACCAGTTTACAACTTCATTTAGTTGAGTTTGTTCAGACATCGTCCTCCCTGACAGCCAGAAATGCCCGACAGCTTCGAATGGAGACACGGTATCTGACCCGTTAACTCCAGGCGAAGACATTCCACCAACTCGGGTTTTGTCCACAGGGTGGGTCAACGTACCCACATTTGAACCTGCCTCACAATTGATATATGTATGTGTCTCATGACTACTCGCAAGTAGTTTATTCTTAAGGCGTGAAGTTCCTCTGAGTGTCGACAATTCACAGCCCAAAACTGCATCGTCGGCGTATTTGCAGCCGCACATTTACCTTCATTTACTTAGTACTATACATGTAAATGTCAGAAGTGATGTATCAAAAATGAATTTCTTTGTGTTACAAGCCTTTTCAATGAGTCTAAAAATGGACTGTTCGTCTATGCACGCTCCTCGCTATTCAAATGGGATTAAGGTGATGGTTGGACAGGGGAGTACCGGGTATGCACACTTGATGAGCGGCAACAACGGTGAAACCAGCTGTGTGCCTCAGGGAAATTTTGTCCTGTAATCCACGTAAAATAACATACTAATTTGTCAATGAATATTATGCGCAGTGGGAACAGTTAGGATACTGTCGCAAGCGATCCACAACAGGTTAATAAAGACCCCCGGGGGTCAGTTGATTCACACTAGGAGGCCGAATATCTGATGGTACTGTTTGTTTGCGTCGGCCTTGGTTTCGACTTGAGAAGTGGGAAGTGGAGCGCTCGAAGTAAATACTTTGTGTACAAAGGTTTGGTGTCAATTGTCCTTATCCGGTTACCTCGGCAACAGATTTTGTACTATTGTGGACCCGTTTCAATCTGATTTTGAGCACCTTACAAATTATCTTGTGTATGATTAGAATCCAATGGATGTCCAGTATCAAACAAATGATCGAATACCGTGTTACAAAAGCGTCAATGCAGATAGTTTTGTGGATGGCCAGCATCCGCGACTTGTCCTTACTTCGTGTTAATCCGTGCAACGCCACAAGTAATTTGGGGATCTCTTGACATTAGGTCAGAAGTGAATGGATGACTGATGAAACAGTCCTTCTTCTTTGTCATGGCTACAGTCTGCGGTTTCCGATCCCATTGTACCATGTTACTTCGGAAAATACACAGTCACCCGTTACGATCGAAAGAGGCTAGATATTTATCATCTACCGCTGAGACAATTGCTACTCCGCTGAACAACCAACCCCACCCCCACCCCGCTTTGTGTTTGAAATCGGTCTGTCGGAACCCCTAAACACTAAACTGTTTACGCAACCCAACTGATGAGTCATCGCACTTAGACTAAATTAGCGGCATAACAGTGAACTTGGGGATATGTTGATGACCAAGATAGATTCATCTTGAAATGCCTCGGCGAACACGGACCCTTGACACTGAACAAACGGAATTCACATTGGCGTCAATTTTCTCAGAAAACATGAAGAAAATATGAAAAATTAACATGGCCGGACGGTAGCAACTGGAAAATAGCAATACTATTATTAACAGCAATAAGAGGGAGAAGAAAAGTGAGTAGACATGCTAAAACTGAAGCCTCTTTTAGCTGCCCGCAGTCAATTTAAAAACGGTAAAATTATATAAAACCACACTAAATGTATTACGTTTTGCGAGCACCAAAAATCGACAAGATTTTCCGTATCGGACTGATATTAGTTGTCATTTAATAGCATCCATTCCAAGGAAATTTTTTTGCACTGTTCAAATAATCGGAAAATCATATTTTTTTCATTTGCTGTCGGTTTCGTTTCGGCCTCATGGTATTTGAATGAATTAGTTGTCTGTAATTTCAGGCACTGGACATTCAACTTCCCCTGGTGAACAACGCCTTAGAAATCGATTTCTAATTTCTAATTCTGGCTTCATTCATTAGCTGGTTAAACTCTGTATTTCCTCTATGCCACGCTCAACGGAAACTGTCAAGGTGTTGCATAGATAGGTTGATGGGATATTGTTTGCCAATGATCCATTCTAGTAATTTTCGAATGACTATTGATAAGGTGGGATGATGATGAATCCGATGACCTAGCCGTTGATGTCGTAATGTGAATCATGAGCAGCTATGTTTTAAAGCTTCAATTATCAGCCTGACACTGAAAGTAGTTTAACAACCCAAAGATCCTCGCCAAGAACCGGATTCGAACTGGCAACCCTCCGCTAACCGGAGAGTTGCTCTACCAACTGAGTTATCACAGTGCGTATGCAAATATCCAGTGATTTTCAATCGCTATTCCAGTGATACTCAATAACTATTCCGATTTTATTCACTGGACAAGCTTCATCGGTCACTTCCCGGTGGGACGAATAACACCGGAGAACGAGAGTCTACTGTTGGCCTGAGGATCCAGAATGATCTAAATAATGGGAAGCCCACTTGCATCTTAAGCATCCAAACGTGGTTGTTCTTGAATGGATTTCCTCTTGCGTTATTTGCGTCTGACTGGTCGTGCTGCGACAGCTTAACTGATAGATCACGTGCCCGGCTAGTTTAAGGTCGCCCACTCGATTCCGGCTCGCGGAGTGGACTTTTAGATGAGCACTTGGTAATAATGACTTCTACTAATTTAGAAAACTGTGCGATTATTTCAAAAGTCTAATTTCGAGACGTGTTGATCGATAAATAAGATAAGGTACTGAGGAAGTGACCAGCTAAGGCGGGAACTGAACCTTAGTCCTAAACGCCCAAAGTTCACGATGGTAACGGCTTAACCACCGCCGGGTGAACTGGTGAAATCGAATGAGAGCGCTACTTGCATACTAAGTGATAAACATCTTGATGGGAAATCATTTACGTTAAATGGAGTTAAGCTGTACCAGGTATACCAGCAGTGCCTCAAAACAAACCTCATCTACGACACTGACGTCCACAAATGGCACATTTCAAAGGGTCGCAGAGTAAATTGACAGCACTACAACCAACTCAGTTCCACAATCAATGGGAAATCACGGTCTCCCTGAGACCACCTTTAAACTTCTGATCCGCGACTCCGTCGTACAAGATGGTCGATTATCTTGTCGCGACATGATTTCACCACGTTCAGAAGAATGAAATTCGTCCTCCGCGTCATCTTAGTGGGATAACTTGACACCCTAGCATTCGCTGTTGACCAGCTAGTGAGTATTTAAATGATCGATTTCACTGAACTGATTAGGACTTTTGATCAACGGTAGCCGTGATGTCAGTTGGCTGGAAGAGCCCTGTGACTTTTCCTAATGAGAGTTAAGCAGATATGTGTTGCATACAAGTGATTGTATTGACTTATGGAACCTTGGTATTGCTAGCGGTGTCACTACTTCAAAAACCCGATCTCAAATCTGGACGAATTCAGCAGTATTTGTTTTTCTTTTGTACGGACCTGATCACAATCTCTTACGACTCGTCTCTATCGTGATTTCCCCCGGGCGAGATAGGGACAGAACTAGTCTACTAGTATACTCCAAAATTTTGCATAGGAACAAATTCATATTTCATTTGTAGCACAAATTGGTTGGATTTCATACATTTATTCTACATTGTTTGAACCGACAAAATGTTCACTGGTGACATAACTATCCTCACTTGCTTCACTACAATAGTTCAAGACGTCTTCCACTCTGGCCTTCGTTGACTATCTACGCCAACAGCCAATGGTTTTCGAAGTTTACGGGCATCAGACTGAACCGAACGCGACAGACAGTCCGGTGTCGCTTGCCAAGTATCTATCACGGTAGGTAACCAAATGACATTCAATGTCTCACACTTGATCGAGTATTCTGTAATAAGATGGGTCTATCACCTTGAACGCTGAGTATCATTCATAATAACTTCTTCACTTACATTCCCTTGTTTATAACTCATTGGAATCACGTTTAGATGAGGTCATCGGCTTCGGTCACGACAGTTCAAATACTTGAGCCATCGTCTTCTGTGAATTCAGCAGTTGAATTCCCTCGGCCGCCCGCAACGTCCCATATCTGACTGTCTCTACCTCATTCGGCTGGGTCCGGCCGAGGATGGTGAATGACATTGCTGGATCAACCATGTAACCTTTGGCTAAGGGATTGGTAAAGGTTTAAGCTAAAGAGGCTGATGCTCGATAATACTCTTATATAGATACTTTACCACTCCACTCAAAAAAGTGGCCGAGTATGCAATAAAAGTCCGCTGAAAGTCAAGAATTAATTTACTCTCAAACATCTGGCAGTGTTATTCCATTTAGTCACATCGTTCAATATCCATATGGCATGCCACTTCAATATTTCCTTTTGTTTTCTAGACGCTTCCGCACTTTAGTGCCTCCGACTTTACCCATATCTTCACCGGTGCCTCCGACACGATTCGGAACCGTGGATTTATTGAACAAGTAAGGAGTTCCATTTGACTTCTCTATACACCTCCCAAATGTGAGTTAGTAAACTGAAAATGGTATTCGTACCATGTTAGCAGCACGAAATCAGCAAGAAAATGATACTCATATGTGATCTTTTTATTCCATACTAGCGCATGAGTGTAGCGGAAAAAGCGTAAGCCTTGGCCTTGAAGGTCATTATGATCTTGAAATTAGGACAACAGAGCCGTTTAGGGTATCAACGATTCAGATGTTATTGGGGCGTGTAACAATACGTTGCTGCATGCCACAAACATGATCTGAACTGAGTGTTTGAGTTTCGCACCTCAGAAATGATGAAAACTTTCACATCTGCCGATGAACGATATGCGCTCACGTGTTAAAGCTATTTGACACAGCTGCTTTGTCGTTTCCTTTTGTTCAGTTCGGAGTTAGTATTGACACAAGGAACACGAGTAATCTGTTTATTCGTGAGCATGTAAACAAAAAACCAGGCCATAACCGATGAGCAGGCAAGCAAACAACCATGCAGCACGCTGTAGGCGTGGGCGCGAGCAAATTCAGTCAGAGTTGCATGAATGCACAGGCTTTATCGAAGCGTACATTCGGCTCAGGGCAAGAAAGCCCGATCAATACTCAGCGCGAACTCACTGGTTAACTCAGTCCGGGCTGAATCGTGACTAACATCAACATTGTTTGTCTTTCAGCATGTGTCCGCGCGTCCACAAAAGACTGGAAAGTCGTGCGTGACTTTTTCGATTGTGCGTGCGTTGTTGTGCGTATGTGCCTTTTTAGTCCGGATAAAAAACCTTTAAGACAGCAATCATTTTGGGGTTTAATTTTGTATAACCATAGCGAAAATGTAACATCAAAGAGGGTCAGCAGGCAAGCCCTAGGACTGATATGAATCAGAATGAAAAGAACTTGGGGAAGTGAATGCATAAATTGGTAAAGGTGACGTGTGAGATAACCGCAAGTAGGAGACCTTGTTGAACTCCGAAGTTCATTGTTTATGTTCTAGGAAGAAACCTATCAAAGTTTACCGATATTTGGAGAATTGAGTAAAACAAGAGGGAAAACGGAAGTCCAAGAAGTTTTGTATAATTCCTCCCATATAGGACCCATAGAGTTTCGCGTCTGAAAAAGAGTAACAAATGGATATTCACCTAAAACGCGATCAGCGTGACTGACCATTAGGGATAAGTGAACTAAGTACTAGTGAACAAAACCGAACAAATTGAGTATGTATATTTATCGCCATTGTGAAGGATTGTTGATACTTTGTTTGGCTGATTGTACCTTTCACTCACCAACCCCAGGTCATCTAACCAATCCCGCACTCGTAGTCATCAGTCTCGAGTTTTGCTCTTGTTAAAACGCACCAGTGGTGTATATCTTCCTCCACAACTAGGGTTTGAACCCGGGCCTTTTCATCTCGAAGGCCTTTTTGGCTCTCATCAAGGACGACAAGTGGACAAACTCAGCTCGGTGATTCTGATCAGCCCGGACCGGAGCGGGGTGGTACAGTGGCTTGGGTTTAAGTCCCGAGGTACAACGGAAAATATGCATCACTGATGAGCTCTAACAGGAGCGAAACTCGAGTATGATGCTTCCGAGAGCAAGGCTGGACGATCTGGCGTTTGTGAGTGAAAGGTGGCGTCCAAAGGACAGTCAGACAAACAAAGTTATTCAATATCGGTAATCAGTCAACCATGTAGTGTAAGTTCACCAGGAACCACAGATGACTACTCATTAGAAGACAAATCACACATTGTATTGTGCCGTCAGCAGGTTAATGTTTGCAAAAGCGAGTAGAAACTATCATGGACCATCGGGGCGCCGTCAATGGCCTTCCCCGATTAGTTTGGTTTCTGTCTAGTAATATACACTGTAGTCTTTGATGTTGACAGTCAAGTAATGTGACCCTCTCTGGTCCATGCTTTCTCCCTGCTGGTTACAACTGTGTAGGAAGGATCTACAATTTCTTACAGAATCAATATTTTACCGCTTTTTTAAGCAGTACTTCTTTTAGGGTTCGATGCTCCAAATAGTTAGGTTCCGCAGCGTCTGAAAGTAATTTTTAACAATTCAGTTTAAGGGTAATATTGATAATAATGACATATGAAGCTCTTCGGTTTCGGGGCTAACATTCGGATTTTTACAGTTTCAAGAAATGAATAACGCGACGAGTAATAGAGACATTTACTTATACTGGAAATAGTTAACGATTGACAGATTCAAAATATTGGCCCCCTAGATGCCTGAAATTGGGACAACACTTATGCTACCGACAAAATAATAGCTTCTATAATTGATGCATCTGTTTGTGATCTTTAAATTTCAGTTCTACCCTTGTTCGTCGAGAAGATATCCTCGTATGGTTCGAGATATTGGAGCTGGACCCTAACGGCGAGTAAGAAAGTCAGATTTGTTGATACCGTGGCTTAATTCCATAGCCAACTTAATTGCAGAGTGATATGTTTTCAATAATGAAAAATCCACTTGCATTTTAAGCACCAAAAAGTCCTACGCCTCGAGCCGCAATTGGAGCGACAATTTTTAGCATTGAACGGGCAGTTCTTCCATCGGCAGAAGTATCGCAGTACGTTCCGTAGAACGCAAATAGCGCACATGAATATTCAGTGATGCGCGAACCACTATCCCAACGATACACCTCAACCTTTCTGGTTTTATTCACTGGACTAGTTTCATCGATCACTTCCCGGCTCGCGGTGTTGAACTTTTGGTTGCTAAATACGTAAATGGATTTTTCATCTTTTAAGATCCAGGCTTCTTGTGCCAATAATACTCCCTGTCAGTGTATTTTTACTTTATATTTTCCACCCTGAATTATTTGTTGTCTCAGTAACATTTCCTCGAAGCTTATCAATCTGTGACCCATAGTTACATGCAAGCTTAAGTTATGTTCATATGGAATTTTACCATGTTAATGTTCAAAAGTTAACTTAGATTTGTGGCCGTTGATAGCTTTCACGATTAGTTGTTCCTGCTTTTTGCTGTAGTTCTGAATTAAAACTAGATTTTTCATCGACAGTGGCTCCGGTGATAGTAATGGACTGTTCTACAAAGTTTATTCCATAGCTTTGAAATGTCACTCAAAACGTACACCCCCCCCCTTCCGCCCTTGTTGGCTTCAGTCCCCTTCCTCAGATATGAAAACCGAAGATAGTCCGACGTATTTAAACCTATTCCTCATTTCAGATACATCCCAGTACCTGTTGATCGCTTGGATGAAGCGCCTTGCCAGGGAGTATTTCTCATTCATCAGGGTTTACAGCGGCGCTTGGCAATCACGCTCATCCACGAGCCGTATCCCACGGGCACGGAACAATTGCTATGCGGCACCCCTAATCTTCTTTTTTTGGATGTTCACGAGGTTGTGGTCGGTCGCGTACGTGAGACTCCAGAATGGCTCGATTCGGACAGAAATACACGAATTTTGTCGCTATCTTTGCTTCCAGCTCGCTACTTCCCACAGGCCGGTGACGATCGGTGAGTCTCTACAGCGTTTACCTGTGTTTCACAGTGTAAAACTTTCCATTTGTGCAGAGATCTAGTTGCTTTTAGAAATCAATGATTTTTCTGCGATGACGAAATCCATACTGCCTATTTTTCATCGGATTATGATAAGAACGTAAAGAAGCATGTAAAATGTCAAACCTTCGAGTGGGTAATATCTCAACCTAGGTAATAACGTTTTACCTGTCAAAGCACTTTCGCATTTAAACAGGACTTGTGGAAGGATAAAAACATGGCCACGATGTTCACATAGCTATCTGGGCACCAGAAGATGCGTACAGGTTCAGGCTTACCCGAAAATCCAACACTTGGCCCTTAACGACTTCGGGCAAACAGTTTGTAGCATCTTACTAATGGGAACGGCGGGCAATGCGTTTTTACTGTTTAACCACTGGCGACCGTTGTTAAACAAGCCACTGAGAGTCAGTCTGGATAGTCTAATGGTTAGGTATTTGACTGGCACTCGTCCACCCCGGGATCAAAGAATACGCACTCCTGACAATTTCTAGTAAGAAGAAAAACAAATATACATGGTGTTTTCGTGGTTTCTGGTGATGATTTCAGCGACAATAGTGCACGGTGGACCAAACAAATGATCACAGATTAATATATCTCCAGCACAGTTTTCATTCCTGATCCTCATGCCTGCCTCTACTGCATGCCTTTCTGCACATTCGACCTGCATGCACGAACATACTCGCATATACACATGCATGCACACGTACCGCAGTCCTTTGGGTGAAACGTTTTAGCTGGTAACGGCTTGATTACGATTTTTTTGAAAACCACCTTTCCCCTTAACTAATATGAACATGGTCATTTTCCACTGGCGAAAACTTCATACTGTACGAAGGTTGTTCACGCGTTGCGTCCGAGACACGGAGGAATCATGTGACTGAAAATGGACTAGTTTTGATTATTCCACGGCTTTTAAAGGACGGGAAAGCCGTTAGTAATTGTAAAATTTTTGTAATTTAGAGCTCACATAAACTTGTTGTGACCAAATCGAAAGAAAGGAAGCCAGGAGACACACAAACTGACACTGGAATGTTTTCGGCCTTTTTATAGGCATGAAATATCTGAGGAAAAACATGCACACTGTTATTGATTCATCAGCAATGTGATTAGTGGACTCATACTTGTCAGGTGTTGTATGGTGTGCAGGCGGATCATGGGTGCGAGACATGCGCGCAGTGATAATCAATATCCAAGGTTGCACTAAGACGAGTCACTTGTGCAAGCCATATTTGGTCTCGTATGGGAACGTACGCATGATGACGAGTGTACGCTGTATAAATTAGCAGCGATTGGTTCAAATGGGGTTTCACGTACTGCTTGAGAATAGGACACTAGATCACCGCATAGCCACATAATATTTCGGTAAAAATCATGAGACAGAAATGATTACTGCAGACACATGCACGCGAACATTCATGTTAATTTCCTTCCCTTTTATCATTCCGCTTCAGGGTTTTCTTCCGTTTTGAAGCTGCATGGGATAGTTCGTTGCACGCCTCTCCCCTGTTGAATCGCGTGACTCCCTCCGGCCAACGAGTCTACATGACAATGTCGTGTTATCTGGACGTAGATGGTTGCACTCGTCCTGTGTGTTTGACGAAAGATTTGGCGATGATGGTGTTTCCACGAGAGTCGAAACTTTCTGTTCCTAGGTGAGCTAACTACAATGTTATTGTTCGTAATGTGACCACACACAAAAATGCATAATTTAGGTACCACCAATCTATTTGTGTGCACAATGACATATTGTACCAAAAGCATATTCATGATTTCGCTGCTCAAGATTCTATCTATACACAAAAGCATGCGCTTTTCGAATCATTTACCAAAGTATCAACGTGTAATGAGGTTGACACTTTTCTCACCGCCGCTTGTTAAGCGAATAGAAGGGGATTCGAGAGATTCGTCAAATGTTAGATTGAAGTTCAGTGCATTTGGCTTTAACAGATGAATAAAAATGCTAACCGTCTAGGCCAGAGAAGAGTTTGTGTTGATGAATGAGAGGTCATTAGGCTTTGGTGGTATACCTGAAGATCACTTCATATATCAGTATGATCAGCTTCAAACACATGCTATCCTCGTTCAGAATAAACACACTGTAATCAGAACAACGTTACAGGTCAACAACACTCTTTCTACATGAGACTTGTGTCGGTCTCTATCATTTTCTATGGTTCAACCTGATCATTGTTGTAAATAATGAGGAGATCTACATTGTGTTAACTGTTACTTGTGTCCTTAACAGGGTTCAGTGTACACAGGGAATTCGTTCGCTCTAATCAGGTCAGTGGTAATTAGCAAACGCGTATGGAAACGTTTCGATCGAACAACAACATCAGGTTCTGTGACATGTACCTGTGGTTAGTCCCGGTTAACTAGTGCGCAAGCACATCTTCCTCCGGTTCTCACCAATCGTTCGCCGCGAGAAGCGAAATGCTGGACTGCACTCGGTTCCAACAAACTTTTACATGCTGGTACGCCATTCGGTTTGTCAAGAGTCTTCTGACGTGGTTCGTTGTGTTTCGTAGGGATAAATCAGTTGATGGCATACACTCTGAAAGCAAGACATTCATAATCTAGTCACCCGTCTGCATTCTAAAACAAAATCGTGTAAATTTTACTCGGTTTAAAGGCACATTTTTAATGACTTTCCTCATTATGCCATAGATGAATTATATTAGGTGAAAAATACATAAAATATCGATCTTTTGTGTGGATAAATTTATGTGATTGATTAGTGCAAATCGTTCCGAATATCCAGACGGTTCTGCTAGAAAAAGAGCTGCAAGATGGTGACACGTGGTTGTCTGAAGTATATTGTAATTGTATTGTTCCTGTTAGGCACGATCGGACTATATCAAACGAATTTCAGGTGTTATTTTAACCACTACCTTTTAGTGACACTTCACCACCTTAGTACAATTTCACAAGACACTCATCCACCACCGTCACCTTAATCCGATAGCTCTTTGTGAGCGGCGGTCGCATTCTTGGTGATAGCATGTCCAGGAGATTTTTGACGCGATGCATCTTTTGCCCCCTCCCGTAATTCGGCTCACAATATGACAGAAACAACTTTTATGAATCCAGTCCGGTAAAGTGCTAGGAATAATTCCAAGATAAGCCAACACCTTATTGTGTTACTGTTTATGCCTTGTACGCTCCCATAATTTCAAAGTTTTCTTGAACCAGGCTTTCGTTTAGAACCTATAACTCCTGACTGAGACAGCACATGTTTGTAAATTCGAGAGAGTGGGTCTGCTAACTCGTGAGCTTCTTCATCTTAACTTTTGCACTGAACAATTACCGTCGTATAAAAGCTGAACCACCAAATTCTTATCCGTGAAATATACATACGTACCATACGTCTGCCACGTATAACTGCCACGTTTTGCATTTCACTTTGTTGGTCATCATTTAAAGTTATTCCTTAGCAGAATTGTAGATAGGTGGGATCGAAAAGTACGTTTATCAACGGGATCTAACACATCCTGCCCACATGACTACAGTAAAGATGTTCCGGTTTGAGGAGTTCGGGTCCGTCCCTCATAGAGGCTCCTTATCTTTGATGTCTGGTTTTGACTAAGCTTCAAATATAGGGCTGAGTGTAGCCTTTGGTAGCGCTTTCCTCGAACACGGTGGATGGCACTCGCTTGATCCTTCGGTCAGCCCTTGACCAATAAGACCAAGCAGAGAAATATCATCAACGCAAAAACGGCATATTCTGAGGCCCTTTACGATGCTAAAAATTAAAAAAGGCAAGATGCTGTCCGGTAGTTTTGGTAGTAATGAGATTATCAACTTATATTTCGTGTGATGCTTTTCATGCGATTACCGAATCAGTTCATACTTCGATTATACATATGAGCAATTTGCCTGTTCCAACTCTGTTGCTGGGCCATCTCCGGAGATAGGTCCCCACTCTCCCGTTTTCCTCCCGTTTGTTCTCTTGCACTCCACCCTGCACCGCAACAAATCTCACTCAATTTATTCACCAACACAGTCCTCGTCTAACTCCCAACCCAACTCTGGCTCTGCTCAGGTCTCTGCGCTCATTGTGGAGCTCATTTTGCCGAGTTAACGAATTGAACCGCGTGACCGGAGTGTATGACTTGCAGCTGCGATTACTTCGTCATGGTAAGTACTTCTGTCAACTCACACGGTTTTTGACTGTCTGTCTTCAGACTGTTTACCTCGGGGAGGCATCCTGCCGAGATTTGATAGACACTTTCTTCCACTGAGCATCATTGTTACGGAATCCTGTTCGTAGGGAATCGGTGACCCGTTTAGCCTAAAAGGCGAATTATCCAAAGCTTGCGTGTATTATAGGGGCAAGTTCAAACAATATGCAGTTACATACCGGATTTTTGAATGATCCGGTAAAACAATAACCAGCACAATGTTTCCTCATACTGCGGACACACTTGACCGACTGCCTTAACTTTTTTTATGACATGTGTTTTCCCATGGAAACCTATTATGTTCGACCCGATAGGTTCTCCTTCCCTCACTTGGAGAGATTCGGTAAAGCCAAAGAAAGGGTGTACAAGTCGGACTGACGTTAAGCTGCAAAAAAGCTATCTATACTCATGAAGACTGAAGTACGAAATTTGAGTAAACCTTATACAGACGAGGCGCTGGGTAACAAGAACTACTATGAGATGTGGAAAGCTCTGGAACAGGCCCTAGCGGAAGCAAGACGTCGAAGATTTGAAACACAGGTTCACCGATTAGTCCGATGCATTTTCACTCCCCCCTCCCAACCCAACCTAGTTACTCCTAGCTGACCATAGAGTCCTACGACAAATCAACTGCCATAAGTCTGGTGACCCCGACCTGCTAACACCAATGTTGCTAAAAGCCTGCTCTTCCCAACTCACATCCCCTTTGACTGATCTATTTAATCGTTGTATTGATTCTGGGGTAATTCCCGATGGTGGGAGATCTGTGAGCATCACACATATACCCAGGAAAGGATCCAACAAATATCGTCCGACTGCTCGCACATCTGTTGTGCTGAAAGTATTTGAGAATGTACTTCTGCACCACATCTCCCAAGTTCACTCTCCCAACTCGACACAATATGGCTAAAAATTCTCTCGGTCTACCCATGATGCCGTTGGCTACAGTGCTAATTCTGTTTGTTTCTACTCTTGGCCATAGTGGCCATACTGTCAATATAATTTTTCTAATTGCATAATTTACTTCTTACGGCAGCCGATATTCGTCTTCTCTTCCAGTAAACTCTGGTGCATTTCACGGTGCAATTCTGTCCCCATTGCTTTTCTCTTTTCATATTAGTAAACTTCTCATTTCACCTCATCTCACTGGCTGCAAATATCCCGACGAAGCTGTACTTAGATGTCTGTATAACGGAAATGAAAGTTTGAATTCCCTTCAAAACAGTCTGAATGAACCTTGATACTGGTCCACTTCCTCTTCCTTTTTACCTCAACGTCCGAAAATGCGTTGACGTTACCTTCCGTCTTTGATTTGGATCACGCCACCAAGCTGTCTAATGACATCCCATTCCTCTTCATTGATAACCGACATCAACCCAAAGCTTCTTCCGCTCCTTACCTAGGAGCTACTCTAACTCACCACCATTGATGGACTCGTCACGTTGGAGCAGTGTTCATCAAAGTCAGAAAACTTTCTTTTCTATCATTCAGAATGTGAAAACAGAGTATCTTACAAACTTGTACTTCAATTTGTAACTTCTGTGCATTCTCCCTCTTTAGCTTTACCGCTGTCCCTTCATTTTCCACGGTTTAAAAGGAAAATATTTTGGTCTTATCACTAAATCTATGAAATCGCTCCTCCGTTGTAGCAACACTGATAGAGATATTCTCACTGAATTTATCATTAGCAAGCATTTTTATGTTGTTTACAAATTTACAAACAAGTTACTCTCAGACACTAATCATTTTGTCCGTCCGCACTCTATAAAGTTGTCTCATTCTCTTCCACCCAGTCGACAACCGAAGTGCTTCATCCACGCCCATCTACATATAAAAACAGCCTCATCTCTTATCTTGCCCGTTCACTCGTAGACCGCAGCTAAGTGATCAGCGATCCCGTTGTTCACCTTCGTCATTAATCAGATTGTGCTGCTTCGTTTGGCTTTCACGCACTTATCTGCAACTTGCAGTAAGCCCACAAAATTTTTCTTTTCGATTCCCCTGTAAATCACGTGTGTTGAAAATTCACTCTGAATCGGTGCCTAAAAGTGTTTATTTTAACTCAACTGCACTTGATTTGTAGACCAAGGAAAGTTTCGACAATCCGCAACTTACAATGAAAGTGGACGTGAGCTGAGTCCCAAGGAAACAAGTCAGTAACAATGAGTGGATAAGGAAGATATACCATCAGAATGGGCCAGTCAGTTATGAGTGACGGATTAAGCACGTGACAAACAGAATTCTAGCAAAGTGAAGAGGTCGCTTAACGGAAGGAGACTGGCAAGTGACAGACTTACAGAGCACATTGTTACATCAGAACACATTTTCAGAGACGAACAATTGTTTCCGATGCTTCATTCTCTAGTCCTTACAACCCATATAGGAAATGGTTGTGCTGAGATGGTCAAGGGTCATTCGGACTGGACACAGTTTGTGGGAGGGGGTTTGGGTTAGATCGACGTGTCCGTCCACACGACTAGGTAGTGACGGTCACGGAAGCGATTAGCATCCGTCTTTTCGCACCTGCTCTGTTTATACAGAAGAAATTCGTCCCAGCCCTTCAAATACCCTGGCCACAAGTGAACCACCCCCACTCCAGTGACTCAGCTCCGAGCCATGCGACCGTCACGACTTCGTCGTGTGGACAGACACGTTGATCTAACCCCAACCCCCCCCCCCACAAACTGTGTCCTATCCGAATGACCCTTGACCAGATCAGCACAACCCTTTCCCATGCAAAACACTAGAAACAAGTTTTGTCTCTGAAATGTTGGTCTGGCTTACAGAGCAAACAAAAAAGGGACGAAGTGGCTGATGTTCGGGTCACAATGACCTCATGTAGCTGTGAATCCAGCTACCATGACAGGGGGGACAGTGGGGGAATCCAGACAAATAAGAACAAGTATTAATGTGTCGGAACCGAGATCGGTACGGAGTGTATCGAAAAATCGATGAGCCATGTAAAATGTTACGGTAAAATTTGATTGTTTAATAACAGCGTAGTCGAAATCCCTGGTAGGTTGTCGACTTTTTCTTCACCGCGGGTAACCATTTTCAAGACTGGTTTTACAACAGGTTGCAAAATCGGTGTTATTAAACAATCAAATTTTACCGAAATAAGAACAGGTACTACATGAGCGGGTGTCTCGGACACCTGTTCAGATCAGTCAGTCAAACTGGCGGCGTTTTCGGTTCGCACGGTAGGGGAACGATATAATCAGGTACGGAATAACAGACTAGCAAAAGGGCGAAGACAGTTGGATGGCAGTTGTCAATGTGATGGTATGGGGGGAGAGAGATCACAGAAAAGCAGTCCCACAAGAAGATACTGGGCGGGGATAGAACCCAACAGTAAGGGATTTTCCAACAGCGGGATTTCATGTCCGCCTTCGAATAGAACACATGATCATGACTGACCCCGTGAAGCAAATTTCCAACACATCGAATGATCATAACAACTATCATGCATTCCCTGTCAGGAAGAAGTATGTTTTTTCACCAAACTGGACAATTTAAGGAGGTTCTCGTCAATCTAATGGAATGGTTCATCAAAACAGAAGTTTTCAAAGGCTTAGTGCGTGCAAATCACTCTCATGTGTCACTTATATATCCAACAACGCTTGAAGTTACATCGTCCGAAGATTGTGAATAGTGCACAATACCCAGACTCCAAATGATTGGACGTCCATCATAAAGTTATTCGCTTGCGTACACGTATCAGCAGCCTTAGTCAGAGCTGTCCTTTGGTATAATGAGGAAGTGAAGCGAGAAATTCAGATTTAACTCAAAGCTCCAGTCTGGTGGATTTGAGCTTGGCTGAAATAAACAAGATAACTTGTCAGTAAAGATCAATCTTATTGACCCACCGTGAAATATGGGCATCATGCTAAGAACACAAACTCACAAAAGATTCCGGTTTATTCTCCCTGCAAATCATTCATAGAGCATATCCTTCAAGCCCTCATCAGGGTTTGAACATGAAGCAAACCGTTAGAAACCCTTTTAGATGGGCTGAAGTTCACTCCTAAAACCTATTATCCTTCATGTTGGGATGGAGAAGTTCCTAGGTGGTTACACCATACTAATGACTCCTGACAACCCACAGGAAATAGGCGGGCAATAGTTGCATGATGATGCAAGCATTGATACAAAGTGAAGCAATAACTAAACAAATTCCACCTCAAGCCACTCAAAATAACTACTTACTTACCTCGAAGTATCGATTCTTTCTTGCTGATGTTGAATTACGAATAAATTAATTAAAAAATTGAATTCCCACTACTCCAATATCCTGCATAGTTTTCTTCGGTAAGTCCAAGACGAAAACCACGTGATCAATCACTATAGCGATTAGTTAATTGCTTCTGTTTTTTATAGCTTCCTGTTTAATCGTGATTCAACTAAGATGGCGAATATCAAACCCCATTATTACTCACAAGTATTTACGCTAGAGAACGTCGTTCCGCTTCACTTCAAAAATAAAATTCAGCATGTAACGGGATGCGAATGACCACAAGAATTTCGAAACAGTATTTTTCTGCATTAGTTTAAGATTATTTACCAGAGATGGCAACTCGTTGGTTCTGCAAAATTCAGAGTATAACGAAAGCTGCCTTATACGAGCGAGATATCTGGTGATAAGCACGCTGTTTGTGTCCATTGCCCTGCTTGAACTGTCAATCTAACTAGCATAGAAGGAGAACATATTAAAGATTTTATTTGCCAAATCAGTGAAACGATTGCGCTGCACGATCAATATTTCGAATTTTGTTCTGAAAGCCTACGTGCTGAACGGTATACAGTCCACAGGACAAAGAGGCACTATGATTTTCATGAAAGTGATTGGGTTGATAAGGATCACATTATTTCAATCACTATTTGTTCATTTGATTGAGACTAAATTTCATTTCGTTTCTTCTCAATCGAATGGTTTTACGGAATTGAAAGCCCATGTTGTTCTGTCTAACAAATAGGACGATAGATGGTCTGGCCCCTTGATCTCTTTTTTGTGCGTCATTTTCTTACTACTGACTCTGGATTACGGCAGTGCGATACGTTCGTACTAGTAAGAGAAATAAAATTTTGGCAGTTAATTTGTTTCACAGAATTAAGCCTTCCGTTTATGCCTTGTTCCAAACAGCTGAATAATCGGTTAATTGTTTTATGTTTTTCAAGTCCCTGATTATGGTTTAAAACATGATCACTACAAACAGATACCTACGTGCATAAAACCGGGTGTGATACGTTAACGCTTTATATTGCAAAGGGAGATTACAATGCAGTGTCAGTCCTCTTTTTATCTCGGTTGAACAAAATGTGAAGCTGTTGTGAATTATTTACCGTCTCCCCAGAACCAAAAGCTTGTCTTGGTCTCTCAACGAAACTGTTTTGCGTGACTGCTGACATCACTGGTTAGCATCAATGCAAAATGTGAAAAGCTCTACAAATACTGTGATGCTATTAATGGAAATTTTATGAAAGTTAAAACTTTGCTATTAACTACAGATTTACAGATGGGTTATCCTCCAACATATGGATCTCCCTATTTGAACGATTTTAAGCCTGGTATTTTTCTTTCCATTTTACTCATTTCTAATTTGACACTGATAAGCAATCTGTAGAAGGATGTGGGCAATGAAGGGTAGTTGAACAACGGAAAATTGATGGGCGAAGGCGGAAATCCCACCCGAGACCGTCTGATCACAGCTGGCCCAAATTGGAGATTTTGGTTCTGCAAAACAATCAGACATTTTTTCCTATTTTTACGACGAATCTTGTGAGATGGTGTGGCACATGCTGCCACCGTACTCGTCTTCGGAACGTTGAAGTCGACATTGCAAGAGTGGAAGTGGTATCATGCGTGACCACTGTTGCAGGAATGGTTTTGCTACTTCCAAGTACCTGCTGGCAGTTTCCTCACTTTATTGCATTAGGCATAATATTATCATTGAGGAACGTTTGCCACAATACGAAGTTGTTATATTTCCCAGCACGTTGTCGAGTGTTTCTAGTGAATATGGGGATGAAGAATAAGTGCCGACTGTTTTGTATTTTATCTAGTGTTAAGTTCCATGATCAGTCACAAAAGACGACAATGTCTAATTTGGTGAGCTGTTACTTTTGGAATTCTCATTTCTCTTTTTTGTGTCTCTGCCTCACAGGTCAGTGTTCACGACCGCGATCAATCATGGATAGTAGTCAAACCTACGTTCGAGGAGAGGAGAACCTGAAGGGATGGCGACCACGTGGCGATTCGCTTATCATAGAGCATCAGTGGGAACTGGGTCGCCTTGGTCGTATTGAACAGGTAAGTCAGACATGTCCAGATCACTGCAGACAGTGATGAGCAACAGCATTTCATACTTGGAACAGGAGAAATATCCTAAGTAGTACTACACTCCTGTCTAGGTCGTGAAGAAATGAACATGCACTTTACGCGTATCATCAACTGGAAGAGCGACATGTTCAACGCACGCTAAGTATGACATTGTACAGTTCGAGCAAATATCGACGCTGCTGTTTTTTATAAGAGTAGAAGGCTATGTCCAAATTAATCTCGATCACAAGGTCGAAACAAAAGAGCTTAAAGGACGACCATGAGGCGCGGCTCTCCCCTTGGTAAAGTGGGACGAAAGTGTCCAAAATTCATACAAATACAAGTGCAAATACAAAAGATCACCACACGCTCGAACTCGGTTTCGGCTGTTCACATAAACTGATTGAAAAAGATGATGTGCATGTGTCATCTTCAAGTTCAGGGTCTTTGTAACTCCACCCTGGTCATGTTGTACAGTGAGTCAACTAGAACGTAAGATTTACTTATCTAACTCTATTTCTTGTTCATTTGTGAAATGTTGATATTGGGAAAACTTAACTGTGTGGCTGTAAGTTGGGCTGCACTTGTAAATCATCGAATTGGTATTCCTAAACTTAGCATATGGAACGACTAAGACGTGCATAAGCACCGCTTTTCTCGCTAGATTTCAACTTTCACACCCTTATCTAGTGAAATGTCCCTCGCCTAACTACGGAGGGCGTGCGTGTTACCACTGAGCCATCCCACTCCCGTTCGGGCTGATCCGAAACACCGAGTTAAGTTCTTTCTGGTGATGTCCTGTGACAGCCAGGAAAGCAAAGTTCATCAGTCCCGAACACTACTGGGAAGTAACAGTGAAATACGTACGAAAACCTAAATGCTTAACTCGATAAATCACATAAACTTCGACTTGTGAGGTGCTTAGTCCACAAAGTCTCATCAAAAGGGACTTAGAAGATGGTGACTGTCTCAGATTCAGAAAAACGGAATGGCAATTCACGATATACCAAGGGATAACAGGGCAGAATGATGTAATGTTCAACGGGGATCAATCACGAGGAAGGTGACCTTAAGCAGTCGAGTTGTCCGTGAGCACCAATGAGCTAATTCACTGCTCTGGGGGATCAACCGCCGAGGCAAGGCAGTTGGTAAGAGCATCAAGAAAACGCGTTATGAACGTTGACTCTGTCCCTCTTCAAGCAAAGACTAATGTGTAAGTGTGCCAATTGGTGTTCCTTAGTTCAAATAACAACGATGTTCCTAGTAAGACGGGCGCCGGAATCGTTGAATAAACAGTGGCATATAGATCGTCGACACATTGCAATGCACGGCCCACAACACACCGTGGGTAGAGCGAAATAGCTTAGGGAGAAAATCAGTATCATTCTGATTAGAAGCCTAAACAGAACCAACACAGTATCAGCTCACACCAAGCAACCAGTGAACATATTCGCGTTCATTGACCGTATGGGAATAATTTGATGCAATGAAAATGAACCTCATTTTACGGTCAGCTTTATTTTATTATCTTCTTCGGCCATCTATATTTTCCTTTGTTGTGCAAAATTCTATGAAACAGTATGCGCTAAAGTGAACAGCTTCTTCCGCGGTTGTTTTTCAATAGGACTCAAGTGATTCGTCCGCTGTGAATGCTACTCCTGTGCCCACATATTCGTTCGATCCCTGTTATGATTCATTTCATTTGTCTACGATACGTGGATGCGAACTGGACGTAATTTGGGAAATCATTTAGCGAAGATAAAATCTGGATCGATAAAAATCAGCTATGGAATGATTTTGTGCGAGAGAACACCGGCTCAACAGTCATTTAACCTATTGCAATTTTCTTTCTATGCATTACCGTCAGAGACAGTTCGTCTGATATCGCAAATGAATTGCATCACTTTTTCCCGGTGGGACTGGTAGTGGACGTGGTTTTGTAGTCATCATCATAAAGGCCCAAGAAACATCAGAAAGAAACCCGGATGTGAAAAACTTCCTTACTTGAGCAAGGATCCAGAGCATTTCTTCCGGCAGCTTGATTTTTGTATCTACGCTGTGAAGTCCACAAGCCAAAAAGCTTTGTGCTTTTCCAAGCAATGGTCTAAAATTTTATTGTTTAATAACAGCGTAGTCGAAATCGTTGGTAGGTTGCCGACGTTTCGGTCACCGGTTGTAAAACCAGTCTTGAAAAAGGTGACCCGTGGTGACGGAAACGTCGACAACCCACCAACGACTTCGACTACGCTGTGTTATCAAACGATAAAACTTCACCATAACATTTCCCATGGTGCATCGGTTTTTCGATACACCCCAAACCGATCTCGGTTCTGACATATCAATGTTCTAAAAGCCCAGTTTTCGAAGACGATCATATTTAGGCTTTATAAATCACAGTGTTAATAAACTATGTATACCAAATGGAGAAGTTATCTGTGAACGTCTTTTTCTGTATCCAGGTTGAGAAATCCAGACATCTAATCCTTCTCCGTGACACACTCACACTGGACGGACTGATAAATTCTCGAGTGGAACTGGACAAGACAGTCATGACTACAAGAAAACAGCTGCGTCGAAAACAGGGAGTTAAAGTCTATTCACGGAGAACTGACACATTGAAAGCGTTTGACGAACAGTCTGAGGATTTCGGACCCAGAGAAATAACGAACGGTAAACCGTAAGTTCAACCAACTGTCACTTGTTGAATTTCCCTCACTGTTCAATGTATATCTTGGACTCGATCTTTGAGGGTTTTTGACGCTATTGACTTGAATTGTCTGACCTTATACCATTATCTCTGAGATCTGTTAATAAAGCTGATTGGGTTGACTTTCTGCAAACTGTTTATCCAAAAAAGGTAATCAAATATTATACCTTTCGACCTTGGATGAAAGGTGAAAGTTTCAGTCCAAACCGAGTAAAAAGTATGGTGATTTCGTTTGCCAGAAGAATGATGAGCGTTTACATTGGGGATGAACTACCGCCCAGTTTCACAGGACGAAAGCAAGTTGTTCTGAAGGAAACGAAATCACGGAATCTGGTTATCAAACACGGTATCGTGATCACATTGCTGGATAATTAGTCGCATGCACCGTACATGTATCCACGGGTGATGATAAGTGGACGGACATGGTATATTAAATGACAAACAACTGGCGTGCGAAATTGCTTCTCAGCATAAACGCCTCTGGTGCAAGTCAGTCAACATTGTGTCTGATTTCCGGTCTTGAAGAAAAAAGGTTGGTAGCATTGCGAACTACATTTGGCACCCGATGATGAGCAATGTGCGTTTCAGGTAACAGTGAATTGTCGAGAAACATGTACCTGAGTTGGTGCCACACTTGGACTGGTGATAATGGGTTTCAATTTGTAATCAAATGTATCGATTAGAAGCTGATGGAATCATGGATTGTGACCGGGCAAACGTGTAAGCCCATTAGAGATGCTGAAAACTTTCACAGTATGATTGACTTCATCCGCCAAAATATGCCGATTTTTTTGTGCACCTGAAAGGCACTACACCATCACATTCACAGCCATGCGTCACTTGTGTATCAGGATTATGAGTGGATACTCCTCGCTCGAGTCTACCAGGGAGTCACAGGTGTAATTTACTGATTTCTTTGTGGGTTAGTCACGCTAAGTGTAGAGAACGACGACACAGCCCTTGAAAAAAAGAAGTCAGAATCACCATATTGCACGATTTATGTCCAGGACGATTTCGCTACATCTCTACACAGTGCATACTACAGACAAAAGTTAGTGTGACAGTTTATATATGATCGAAACATGACCAAAAAAATTATGAATGTGCGTCTCACCATGGTAAACATAACCGTACACACAATTCATTCTGTTTGCACAGCGTTGGTTTCCATCGTTTGATTGCTATCTCTTCGGCCTATCTGAGCAGTTTCGTGTTTTCCTTTTTGTAAACCACCCGAAACGCTTTTTCTTTCTCAGCTTGGTGTTGCGTCATCAGTAAGTGTTTAGCTATTGATGATACGGTGCCTTATCAGAAGGTCGGTCCTTGGTGTTTGCCATCTTAGGGTCAGTTGATCGTTAAATCCAGTTGGGAATGTGTTCCGAAATCCGATTGAGAAAAATGTACATCAGAATATCATCCAGTTTACCCTGTACAAGGGTTATGTCGATGATATTTTGATTTTTACTGAGGAAGATCGTTTTACTAAGTTCTTCAACCTAAAGAACACCATACATCTCAACCTATCAGTCACATGTGAAACAGAAAGTGGTAGTAGTCTCGCTTTTTTGGATATCATGATAACAAAACGTGCAGATGGAACAATTTCGAAGACTATCCATCGTAAAGCAACATGGAGTGGACAATACATTCAGTTCTCCAGTTTCGCTCCAGTTGCCTACAAAAGGGGCTTGGTCAAAACCCTGTTCCACAGGGTGCGTAAAATCTGCAGTGCAGACCAACTGCAAAAGGAAGAAGAGTTCTTATCCCAAACTCTTTGTGCCAATGGATACCCTGATAATTTCATTGAGGTCCACAAAAGAGAAAGACCTAAGACCGTACAAGTCGACACGGTCGAGAAAAAACGAGTTACTCTGGTGTTGCCATTTAAAAGGGATCATCCGTTCAATCGGATTAGCCAAAATCTAAAGTGTGCGCCAAAGCGCACCTACTTGGCGGCTGAATTGCAGATTTCGCAAACCACCAAACGATTAAACCTCCAAGCACATTCAAACAGTGTCGCGAACCTGATTGCCTCTCACGTCATTTATCAGTTCACCTGCAGCTGCGGTGACACCTACATAGGTAGAACGGATCGTTGCATCAGTCAAAGAATGGGAGAGCATGCACCGAAGTGGTTAGTGTAGTGGAGAGTCATCCTCCACCCACACAACAGACGACGACTAGAAACCCCGCTTCACCGATCGCGAAACACCTTGTGACCTTTCGTCATCGGATTGATCCGGGTCAAGCGGTCCGAGTGATTGCATGGAATCGGAAGCCAAAGCTTCTAGCTTTTTGTGAGGCTGTGTTGATAAGTGGACTTAGGCCCCCATTGTGGGCACAGAAAATGTTGACCCACAATGTGTGCCTGCCGTGGCGGTAACCAATCAGGTTTACCGAATCGTTTCCTAATTTCGCTTGAGACTATCTATTCCATTGTTTTGCTCCGCGCTCCATTCGAACACGAATTCGCATGTTTTACGTAAGCGATTGAGAAGATTAAAAGAAATGCTTGCATCTCGCAATTTATGTCATCTATCTGTTTTGATGAACTGGATCAAGGGGACCCAATGTTTCAGATTACCTAACCGCCTTTCTGTTCGATCAACGTAGGTGACTCCACACCCACAGTGGAACGGGTATATCACATGTGAATTGGTGTACAGAGATAAGCGTTCTTCAGTCGGCGGAACCGGTATGCCTTTAGAGCGGTATTTGATTTTGGTAAGGCGGCATAATAAGCTCATGCAACAACTGACCCTAATTGTCTTTCCAGTATTTGGCTGACGTCATCACCCTTGAATGGGAGACACACTGTGACCTCCATTCGTGGTACTGGTGTAGTGTTTGATTTCACAGGCCTTGTGATGAATGCACCTGGATATCCGTAGTTTGCGGCGCCGTTCCGATGAGACTGAGTTCATCAGCGACTGTCGTCCGTACATATCCGTCTAATTCGGTTGAAAAGGGTGCGAAACAGACCGCGCTTGTAGGATATGGGCCCATAGCTTGCAAAATGTAAATACTGGCCTGTCCACGTTTTCTTGTGGTTGACTGACCTTGAGATTGATCCACCGGGTCTCCGTGTTAGTTTGATATCCAGGACGATTAAGGTGTTATTCACCTCGGTTTCCATAATGAAATGGATGTTAGGATGTAGTTTGTTTAATTCTTCTAGGATAAATTCCACCTGTTCTTTGTTGTCCGTTACGATTAGCGTCGTCGACGTATCTTCTGTACAGCTCAGCTTTGGCAAGAGTTTTGTGACATTTCTTTTCTAAGTATGCCACGAACAACTCAGCCACCTCAGGTCTCAAGAGACTTCCCATTGCGACTCCATCGATCTGTCTGTATGGTTCCCTTGGAACGAAAAGGAGACATTTGTAGTGCATAGCAGTAACAGGCTATCAAGGATGGGTGTGGGTAGATGCACCGTCAACCGGGTCTCTTCAGTATGATCACAGATTAGCCATATAACTTTAGACTGACAAGTTTGTAAACAAAGACTCGACGTCAAACGAAGCCATACATTTTTCATTGATATTTAGGTTTTTCAGTAAGTCCACCATTTCGAACATATCTTTTACAGAAAATTTGACCAGTGAGCACTCGACAGGTTCGAGGATAGAAACTAACCATTCGGCCAGTTGAGAATCCGCCTCAGGGGAACACCTGGTTCGTGTAATTTTGACAGGTCATACATTTGTGGGGTTTGGCATGTCTTTGTCGCCAGTTCACGAGCTGTACTCTCATTTATGAAATGCCCTTCGAGGAGGAATTGCACTTACGATCTTATTTGTCTTTATATTTCATTCGGATCATCACAGTTCTTCTCCTTCCTGAATTTGCAGGCATCATTTAAAATCGGTTGCATTTTTCTCTCATAGTCCGATTTATCTAGTAGCTTTACTCTAGATGCCTTATCAGGGTGCAAAATAAACAAGTCACTTCGTGACTGAAGGTCTGTTAGAACTGAGAGATTTCTCGGTAGCAGTAGAGTATGTTATCTGGATGGAGTTATTCGACATTGACGTTTTGAGTCCACGAGTTTAGCTTTGAACCAGTTTTCAGTATCGGTAGGGGAAGGTTTGGGGGTTCTCCGTTGTTGGTGTAAGTATTCAAACTGTGCTTGTATTTCCAAGGTGTTCAGTTTCCTTGGTGGTATCGGGAAACGAAGTCCGCCTGATAGAGCTCCAGTCTTGGTTTGGCTGAGTTTCACCGGTGACAGGTTCTTAACATATTTCTCTGGTTAAGTAGGAAATCGACATTCAATCTGAGCGTGTTTTAGCGACTTTTGTAATTGTTCCATCGTCGTTTCTTTAGTTTTACGAATGATACAGCCTTTGCAAGTAGGAAGAGGAAAGGAGAAGCAAGTGTTATAGAGACTGGTGGAAAAAGGTTTCTCGAAAGCAAACGAATGGTGTCACGATTATTGCCGCTCATCCCGTGTGCTTATCCGTAACCCCTCTGTCTAGTCATCCTCATAACTGTACACTCCGACTGCAATATATTCACATTTATTTCAGTTAAGCATCCCGAGAGTACACCCTAATCGAACCACAGCTGAGATTTTCTAAAGGACAGTTCTTAGAGACGTATCCGCTCTCATTCATAGTGCAAAGTGATAACTGAAAACAAGGACTATTTTAATAAGCGATTTGGAAGACAAACATTACGAGAGGAAATCTTTTTGGATACTCTCATCGATCTCGCACGTATAAAACCCAGCAAGAAAAATAAGTACAATATGGAATGAAATGATTAATTAAAGCAGTTTTATGGAACTGGAAGTCTTGTATGCGTGTCTGTGAGTGCGTGTGCGACTGTTTGTGGTTGTCTCAGGCTGTGGTGGGTCAAGGGAGAATGTCATACGCTTTTGCACTCAGGGCGAGTTTGGGTCATCGCGCCACGAATATACTCTGGAATGTGTTCGGCCATTCTAGTTCGCAGTGATTGGTCGGCCCTACCGA